TATCGCTTCCCAGCTGTGAACGTAACACCTCGCTCCATTCATGTTGCCCTTTGTTTCCTATTTAACTATTAATTTATTTTACTAGACTACATTAAAAAAGGTCACTTTGCATCCCATTGCAAATTAGATAACAGCATATAATGCATGTATGCGATCCATTTTCAAAAACAGGCTCTTACCACAACAATCATTTTATGTAAACCCACTCTGTATTAAGTATATATATTAGGGATGGAACGGTTTATGAAAACCGTCCGAACCGTTCGGTTCGACTGTCTCGGTTCGATTCGCGTGTGTTTCGTTCGGTTCATGCGCTGCTCCTTTTTCTCATAGGCGAAGCGTTTACACTCCAGAGCAGAAGGTGGCGGTACTGCGACCAAAGCCAACCACCAGTAGTAAACAAGAAGAAGAAGAAGCAAAGCAGCGTAGCCGGGTGTAGCAGAAAAAAATCAGTAGTTGTGGAGAATTGTGTGGGTATGGCGAGTGGGAAAGAACAGGAGTTGGAAGACGCGCCAGCAGCACTTTATAGGTCTGCTGTATGGGACCACTTTGCATTTAGAGTGACCTACGATGACGGCGGAAAGAAAGTTGTGGATAAAAACAGTGTGCAAGCATTGTGCAACACGTTTTGTTTATGCTAACAGCAACACGACCAACATGTCAGGCTAACAATCAACATATACCGAACCGAAAACCGTGACCACGAAACCGTGAACCGAACCGTGGATTTTGTGAACCGTTCCACCCCTAATATTTATTGTATTTTTTTTATGATATTTTATCCCACTTTTTATCAAACAATATGCAATCCTCGTCTCAGCGATTCCGTGGTAAAGTTGAAACATACACTATATTGCCAAAAGTATTTGCTCACCTGCCTTGACTCACATATGAGCTTAAGTGACATCCCGTTCCTAATCCATAGGGTTCAATATGACGTCGGTCCACCCTTTGCAGCTAGAACAGCTTCAACTCTTCTGGGAAGGCTGTCCACAAGGTTTAGGAGTGTGTTTATGGGAATTTTTGACCATTCTTCCAGAAGCGCATTTGTGAGGTCGCACACTGATGTTGGACGAGAAGGCCTGGCTCTCAGTCTCCGCTCTAATTCATCCCAAAGGTGTTCTATCGGGTTGAGGTCAGGACTCTGTGCAGGCCAGTCAAGTTCATCCACACCAGACTCTGTCATCCATGTCTTTATGGACCTTGCTTTGTGCACTGGTGCACAGTCATGTTGGAAGAGGAAGGGGCCAGCTCCAAACTGTTCCCACAAAGTTGGGAGCATGGAATTGTCCAAAATGTCTTGGTATGCTGAAGCATTCAGAGTTCCTTTCACTGGAACTAAGGGGCCAAGCCCAGCTCCTGAAAAACAACCTCACACCATAATCCCCCCTCCACCAAACTTTACACTTGGCACAATGCAGTCAGACAAGTACCGTTCTCCTGGCAACCGCCAAACCCAGACCCGTCCATCAGATTGCCAGATGGAGAAGCGTGATTCGTCACTCCAGAGAACGCGTCTCCACTGCTCTAGAGTCCAGTGGCGGCGTGCTTTACACCACCGCATCCGACGCTTTGCATTGCACTTGGTGATGTATGGCTTGGATGCAGCTGCTCGACCATGGAAACCCATTCCATGAAGCTCTCTGCGCACTGTTCTTGAGCTAATCTGAAGGCCACATGAAGTTTGGAGGTCTGTAGGGATTGACTCTGCAGAAAGTTGGCGACCTCTTCGCACTATGCGCGTCAGCATCCGCTGACCCCGCTCCGTCAGTTTACGTGGCCTACCTCTTCGTGGCTGAGTTGCTGTCGTTCCCAAACACTTCCATTTTCTTATAATACAGCTGACAGTTGACTGTGGAATATTTAGGAGCGAGGAAATTTCACGACTGGATTTGTTGCACAGGTGGCATCCTATCACAGTTCCACGCTGGAATTCACTGAGCTCCTGAGAGCGACCCATTCTTTCACAAATGTTTGTAAAAACAGTCTGCATGCCTAGGTGCTTGAATTTATACACCTGTGGCCATGGAAGTGATTGGAACACCTGATTCCAATAATTTGGATGGGTGAGCAAATACTTTTGGCAATATAGTGTAGACTATAACAGATTATAGGCACAGACTACAGCATAGGCATTGGCCTAGGTTTTAGGTCAAACAGGAATTTAAATGAAGTTGGAGCGAACTGGAGCAGAGCGAAATCCTCGCTCTAACCTTTGAATTGAAAACCGCTCTACGCTCCGCCATATTTCTTCCGCTCTGCTCACATGCTCTGATGAGAATGATGATAGAATTTCTAAACTGGGATATAAAATATAGCTGGACAGTAAGCTGCATTTGAAAAATATAATTTCCAAATCTGAAAGACATTTGATATTTTCTTCAACTAGGTGCACAATATGGCGGCTACTAACTTCCGGTCACAGGTTGTGACGTTTGGAACTTCCTGTTGCTTCCCGGTCCTGCCAATCAACCTGGAATGTTGACGGATAAAGCTAGCGAGCAGAGAGAAAATGAGTTTGTTTGGTGTCAAAAAGAGATTGGCTTATAAATGGGTTTGAGGATCATCAGTCTAAGCAGGGACACCTGATTATGCAGCAAGCATTTTTTTACCCTATGATATTGTTTTTACACCACGGGGTAAAAGGCTGCTAAAAAAGCTGGCTGCTCCTGTTCTTTTTGCTCGGGGTCAAATCGTGCAGCTGCAGCGCACGCTTTGACGGCTCAGATGACTAAATCTGCCGCCAAACCAGGTAGGTTTGTATTTTATATTCTCTATATAGCTATAATCATATGTGCATGTAATATTCCGAGTTAAAGGAATAGTACACCCAAAACATGATTAGCCTTCATTTTCTACTCACCCCCATGCTGAACAACACTCTGGAGTACTTTTTTGATATCTCAAATGCATCTGGAGATCTGGGAGGCTTCTTGCTGTCTGCTGGCATTCAAATAATGGAGGTCTATGGTGCCCGAGACAGAAAGGTCCATAAAAGTCCACAAAAAACGTGTCAATATTCCTCCATACTGCTCGTCCAATGTATTCCAAGTGTCCTGAGTGGGTAGCATCCAGAATTTACTCGAAACGAAGTCATTTAGAATGTTTTTAGAGCATAAACAGTAGTGTATAGGATTTCCTAAAAGCGCGTTCACAAGTCTATGGAAACTGCGGCAGACCAAACCAGATGAAAGTGCGCATTCAGCGTCTGCTCTGCCGATAATGCAAGCGTAGAAGAAGAAATGTGCTGTTTACCTGTGCAAAGAAAGAAACAACGAAAGAAAAATGTCTGAGGACTTCAGTGTTGAGGAAGAGCATGAGTTCTTTGTCGAGCTGAATGCGCTGGTTTGGTCTGCCACGGTTTCCGTAGCGTCGTGAACGCGCTTTTAGGAAATCCTATAAACTACTGTTTATGCTCTAAAAACATTCTAAATGACTTAGTTTCGAGTAAATTCTGGATGCTACCCACTCAGGACACTTGGAATACATTGGACGAGCAGTATGGAGGAATATTGACACGTTTTTTGTGGACTTTTATGGACCTTTCTGCCTCGGGCGCCATAGACCTCCATTATTTGAATGTCAGCAGACAGCAAGAAGCCTCCCAGATCTCCAGATGCATTTGAGATATCAAAAAAGTACTCCAGAGTGTTGTTCAGCATGGGGGTGAGTAGAAAATGAAGGCTAATCATGTTTTGGGTGTACTATTCCTTTAAGTCAGTGTTTCAACCAAAACAATGCTTAAAAAATGCATATTTTGTTTTGTTTGTGTTTTTTTTTTTTTTTTTTTTTTTTGCATGATGCGCCCACAGTTCAGTTGCTAGGTTCTTCACGGGTGCGCGTTTCATTAAAATTAAGAGTTTAAAATCTTTATTTTTTATTTTTTAGTTAAAGCCAGTTGCTTGTTGTTTGGAGAGGAATAGGCTGCCATGAAACGGGGTATAAGAGAGGGGGAGAGACATGCAGCAAAGGATCTGTCTCCTTGAACCCCAGTCGGCCTCAGCAGATGGCCGCTCACACTGAGCCTGGTTCTGCTGGAGGTTTCTTCCTGTTCAAAGGGAGTTTTTCCTCTCCACTGTCACTACAAGCATGCTTAGTGTGAGGGATTGCTGAAGAGTCAATGCAATCAACTGGTTTTACTTAGATAGAAAGAATCAATCTGACTTGATGATCTGGTGAGCTGTAGAGCCTTGAGATGACATGTGTTGTGAATTGGAGCTATAGAAATAAAGTGAATTGAAGTAAATTAAAGCATTTCTCCGATGGGTTGACATGTCTATGGGCTTTTGATATGACAGGGACAGTTGGGACAAAAAGGGCAGAGATCCAAGTTATAAATGGGGAACAAAAGCAGCGTCTGCCGGGGCAGATGCAGTGGTAGTGGGATGCTGCATGCTAATCAGTTTGTGCTGCTGAACAAAGAAATGCCAGCTGGTCAGTTTGAATGAGACAGACCAGTGGTGTCAACCAGAACCACTGAAGGGGACACAATTGATGAAGTCAAGTTCAGCCATCGCCACAGGCTACTTAAAGGACCCGTGGTGAATTTAAAAGTCTTTGCAAATTCATCTCAACCCAAAGGAGTGTTTTATGCAGCCTGTAATTAAAGGGTCGGATCATCATTTCCAGTTACTCTGGATCAAAAGCAAAAGTGTTGAAATGAAAACCAACAAAAAGTGTGAGCTGGTTAAAAAACTGAGAGATTAAACTTTTTTTTTTTAAATAAAGGTGACAGAAAACAAGTGGGAGGTTAATGCAAAGAGCTAAAAGTCTAGACAGGTGTTTAAATTTATCCTAAAGCTGAAGTTTTAAAATGTTAATGCTAACAATGTTCACAGTTTACAACAAGCAGCTAGCTGAAAAGGCTAGTTGCCGTTTAGAATAACTCCTGCTAGCTATTAAAAGTTTGTTTTGTCAGGGTTAAACTTAAGCAGCTGTTTGTTTAGAAACACGTAGCTTGAAAGAATGAGGAAAAACTGCTCCTTAAAAAGTAAACTCACCAAAGTTAGACTCGTGGATCCTCTCTCTACGGATGGTTTTGTTCCAAAACCGAAAGATGTTCTACGAAAAAGAAGACAAAGCTGACTTTAAATTAATAAATGTAGGAAAACGATGCTTTCCTCCGGTAGATAAATTAGTTTCTAAACTTTGGAGAGCATGGAGGGGAAAAAAGAAAAGCTCCTAGAGGTCTCGCTACGTCTCTAAAACTATCTCTGGCTGCGTTTTGACGAAACAAGTAGTCAAAAAAAAAAGATCTACATCCGGTGAGGATTTCAAAATAAAACCGGAAATTACTCCTTGCATTCTTTTTTTTTATTTTTATTTTTTATTTTTTTATTATTTTATTTTTTTAATGTTTTATTGGCAATTCCGTGTAACATTACAGAATAACTCAAAAATCAAGCACAGATATACAACAGTTGGTGACATAACTTTAAGAAAAACGAGACATAGAAGGTAAAAAAATAAATAAAAATAAAACAAGGGAAACAAACAAACAAATAAATAAGATAAACATAAAATTATAATAGCTAGGGGTTTACATTGAGTTTACGGTAATTTACAAATGTGTATAGTTTTATACCATTTTTCTTCTTTATAAATTGAAGTGATTGAAAATACAAACAAAAGTTCTTTAAGAAAAATGTTGACGCTTGGCTTGGTCCTCATGTATTTGTTTTGTGAATGTAAAATATTCCCATCATGAGTATAACTCCTTGCATTCTATCGAATAGATTTGCATTGGGTAGAGTATTTAAAGAGGTATACGGAAGAGGATTAGGGCCACTGAAAAAAAAAAGTTAACCAATTTTTTTATTTTACTTCAGTTTAACATGGGAAAAAAGTCAGAATTCTGACTTTTTCTAATAATTCCCAGAATTCTAACTTTAATCTCAAAATACTGACTTTAATCTGAGAATTGAGTTTTTTTTCCTCAGAATTCTGACTTTTTTCTCAGAATTCTGACTTTAATCTCAGAATTCTGACTTTTTTTTCAGAATTCTGACTTTAATCTCAGAATTCTGACTTTTTTCTCAGAATTCTGACTTTAATCTCAGAATTCTGACTTTTTTTTCTCAGAATTGACTTTAATCTCAGAATTCTGACTTTAACGTCAGATTTCAGAATTCTATTTTTTTTATATAAATTATAATAAAACAACAAAAATAAGTAAATCAAGTCATAAAAATACCAATTTACTATTTATAACATAAAACTTTTTTAAACAAGTAACTTTAATGACAATACTTACTTCTTCCTGTAAACTAAAATGACCTTGAAATGTCATGGTAGGAGCAAATAAAAGAAGACGTTGACATAAACATCAACAGTGTGGCTTTTTCTGGAGCACTTAAAAACAACGCAAAAGCTTGTTTGTTATTCAATGAAGTAGGCAAACAATTTACTTAAGCAAAATAGTGATATTACTCAAGTAAGGGTAAAAAGTAAAAAGTTCAGGGCAGTAAAACTACTGTAAAAATTATTCAGTAACTGTAATTGAGTAAATCAAACTAGTTCCTGCCAACCTCTGAAGTTAATGCATGTCTATGAGTCACTTTGCATGAATTTATTTTCATATGAAAACTGTTTTTTTTTATAGAAAAATTCTTGGGTTCTTAGGTAAATATCTCCTTAAGAGTGGGAATAGATTTACTCTATTTCTACGGGTTAACATGTATAAATCCGCCATACACAGAGATCATTCACACATTTCCATGATCCATCCTTTACTACATATTCATCAGGTTCAAGGGAAGCTGGTGTCTATCAAGAGCAGTTTTGGAAAAAACCATGACCATGTAATTCCAGAACAGGTTTCCAGTCCATCAAAAGGCAACACAGAGACAAACAACTAGGCACACACACCTAAGGGCAATTTAGTGCTACCAGCTGAACTAGTCATGTTTTTGGACCCATGCACTCACAGAGAAACATGCAAACTCTGCTAAAGATCCTAGTCCAGAAATTAAATCCAAGACCTTTTTGCTGTAAGACAAAAGGGCCACAAACTGCACCACTGCGCAGCCCTATAACAAATACAACAGAATTTAAATTCATTTTCACTTTTCCCATTCAGGAAACTGCTTTTATTTTCCGATCTATGTATAAAGTAAGCCGCATCGATACTTCCAAAGAAAAGTATCTTCATACAACAATAATGACTAAGAGTCGCCTTGGGGCAAACTTGCTGGAGTGCTGAGCAGGAAGGACCAGACAGAAAATGTATGAGTCATTTTTTGCACATTACATGTTCCAGATAAGTTAGCTGCATGTTAACTGGAAAGCAAAGTTAGTTTCTATTTCAGTTATTATCACAAAACTGATCCTCTCCTTTTTTCAGACATTCTGTGGTAGATTTGCTTCGTGTTTACGGTCAGTTTCCTGTTCTCTGACCCCATTTCAGTCATGCTCCAGCTGTTACACAAACAGCTTGACATTTGTCTTGTTGTAAGAACAAGTTAGTAGACACTCAGAGACTGCAAGGTGTTTACTTCCCAAATTGTCAACCCACCATGATTGACAGGTGTTATGCAATGTTTTTGCTGATCATTTGCATCCTTCAACTTCCCCTTTATATTCTTTCTAAGGCTGGTGAACAGCAATACCTTCTACAGTCATTGCTGGTAGTGTCAGGAACACAAGTTCACCATTAGTGATTAGCAGAGATGGGAAGTAACGAAGTCAAAATACTTCGTTACTGTACTCAAGTAGATTTTTCTGATATTTTTACTTTACTTTACTACTTATTTTTATGGCGACTTTTTACTTCTACTCCTTACATTTTTACACAAATATCTGTACTTTCTACTCCTTACATTTTAGAAAATTGGCTCGTTACTTTAGTTTTGAATCATTTCAATGGAGTTACCATTATTATTTTTCACGTCATCAATAACAAATTCAATCTAATTGGATGGAATCTACGTTGCATTTGACGCACCACTACACGATGAATCGACAGATTCGGCGGTATTCATTGGCGGCAAATCATTGCAGCTTGGTGGCGGTGGCGTTAGCATAGTAGCATGGACGACGAGATGATTGAAAATGAACACAACGGAGATCTAGTCCTATTGGCAGACATCCATTTAAAATGTAGGCAACGGCATGAAAAAAGTGGTTTCTACTTTTACTTTTATACTTTAAGTAAATTTACAAGCCTGTACTTTGTTACTTTTACTTGAGTAAAGAAGTTTAATCAGTACTTCCACTTTTACCAGAGTATTTGTTAACACAAGTATCTGTACTTTTACTCAAGTACGGAAAGTGAGTACTTTTGCCATCTCTGGTGATTAGCCTTCTGAACTGTTTACTCTAAACATACAATGTCACAAGCTTTCTGTTTACAGAGGTGATGATAGCAGAGCGCCATCAAGTGTTCATACTAAGAAACCACACTTTAGTTCTGCATTATTCAGCTCCAAACAGCGATTAAACAGTGGAATGTGCAATTTCACTGGTTCAAACAACACAAAGTAACGTGGGGAAAGAACCCGGATTGTGAAAGAGGACGTGGCCCTAAAGGAACTGGTAGACCTCTAAAAATATCAAGCAGCATAGGGTCTCCCAATTAAAAGTACATAGGTAGGTCTGGCTTAAAATGATCAAACAGAACTACTGTACAAAATATATTTTATTTTTACATTCTTTTACAATTAAAAATATACTTTATTATTCTTATTTAAAACCCAATAAGGTACAGGAACCCGTGACAACACTAGAAACAATCTGAGAATTTAAAAGTACACTGCAAACTAAATTAGTAGCAACACACGTTAATAACACAAAATAATGTTAAACCACAGAGCTGTTCCAAATCAGCTAAAAAAGGTTTTCCCCTTTAATCTCTGAGTTTTTCTTTTTAGTCCTACCACTCCGACAGGAAGATGAATGCCAGGAAAAGGTCACCTTCAGTCCAAATCCTCCTCTTGAGTCCGAATCCAGATGTTCAAACGGTTGGCTCGCCATCTCCCTTCTAGGAGAGAATCCAGAATCCAGGGTAAACCCAGCCGGGAATGGGATTTCTTTCGCTTCACAAAACCACTCTTAAAACGGAAATAAACCTCTGGGATAAAATAAATTAATTAAATAAAGGATGAAATAAGGACAACAATTATTAATTAAATGAAAATTATACTCAGACCCAGAGTGGCAGTCTGTGGGAGTGGGGCTCGGACTCAGAATCTCAGGATTTCTCCAAAATAGCTTCAACTATGCCGAGCTGAAAAAAAATAAGAATCATGTTTGCTTGAAGCAAGGAAGGAAAAAAGTAACTAATTTAAAAAATATATCTAATGGTTATAATTCACTGTGTTTTTTTTTTAAGTTAGATTGTTAGATTAGAAAGAATACAATCTGTAAGGACAAAAATATGTACTTTTTTTTATATCCAAACAGTTTGGTAATGAACCCATGTGGAATATTAAAAAGCCACCCATTAAAGAGATATTAACTGTTTTAAGGTATACTCTGAACTGCCAGAAAATATTGGCAGTATAATTCTTTACTCTTACTTTTACTTAAAGAAGAGTAGAAGGTAGTCCTCCAACAAATTACTCAAGCAGTAGTAAAACAAGTAGTTTGTAAAATGGTTACCTAACTACATATAGATAACATGATTACAAAATAATTTCTAGCTCTCATGAAAAGTCAGCTGAGTACAAAACATAGAGAGGAAAACAAGAAGAAAAGGGACAAAACCTAGAACAAATAATGTTTGTCTATTCTATTAACATTTCTCTATCTGTATAATGGGTCTGTTTTATGTGTTGTCTTCTCAATTCATAGGCCTAGGGCCCCAAATTTCCTAACTCCGCCCCTGTGTGGCGCACCACGGAAGTCAGTGTACAGGTGCGCACTCACCTGTCCTACTAATGAGAGTCAGGGTGGGGCTTCTGTAAATTTATTTAACCGCTTCATTTCACCTTTTTTTTTTTTTGTATTTATTCATTTTCTATTTTAATCAACTGGTTTCATTTGTTCGCTATATGGAGCGGCGCTGTCATTACTTGTGTTTGTGATAATAAACCAAACAAAAAGCGTCCTAGATGTCAGATTATCCGAAATAAATCCCTAAGAGCGATACAAAAAGGGCAACAACCGAGGACCAGACTCAACTCTCAGCGGCTAAAAGGATCTGGTTGGAAGCAGCAACAGTTTTGTCAAACAAAAAAATACTTTTTATGGAAATAATATTCATCTTCATCATCATCGCGCACACGCGCAAATAGACTTCTGTTCTTCCGGAGCAGTGAAGCCACAGCTGAGTGCCACATCATACGTTTGATTCACCTGGAAACAGGTAGAGCTGAACCTGTTGGCTTCTGGATGAAGGAATCTGCTTTGATCGATTTCTGGCAAATCAGAATAATTCATGGAATGGACGCTCCGTTGGATACATTGGCGCACTGATGATGGTGTAAGTTCTCCGTGTTTTTTTACCTGATGACTTGGAGGCATAAACTATGTGGTGGATTCCTGCTCATATTGGTACGGAAGAGGATTTGGGCCAATGGAAAAAAAAAGTTAAGTAAGTTTTTAATTTAATTTCAGTATGAAATTAGAAAAAACTCAGAATTCTGACTTTTTTTTCCTCCCAATTCTGACTTTAATCTCAGAATTATGACTTTAATCTCAGAATTCGGACTTTTTTTCCTCCCAATTCTGCCTTAAATCTCAGTATTATGACTTTTTTTCTCCCAATTCTGCCTTAAATCTCAGAATTATGACTTTTTTTCTCCCAATTCTGCCTTAAATCTCAGAATTATGACTTTTTTTTCTCCCAATTCTGCCTTAAATCTCAGTATTATGACTTTTTTTCTCCCAATTCTGCCTTAAATCTCAGAATTATGACTTTTTTTCCTCCCAATTATGACTTAAATCTCAGAATTCTGACTTTAATCTCAGAATTATTACTTTTTTTTCTCCCAATTCTGACTTTAATCTCAGAATTATGACTTTAATCTCAGAATTATTACTTTTTTTTCTCCCAATTCTGACTTTAATCTCAGAATTCGGACTTTTTTTCTCCCGATTCTGCCTTAAATCTCAGTATTATGACTTTTTTTCTCCCAATTCTGCCTTAAATCTCAGAATTATGACTTTTTTTCCTCCCAGTTATGACTTAAATCTCAGAATTCTGACTTAAATCTCAGAATTCTGACTTTAATCTCAGAATTATGACTTTAATCTCCCAATTCTGCCTTAAATCTCAGTATTATGACTTTTTTTCTCCCAATTCTGCCTTAAATCTCAGAATTATGACTTTTTTCCCCTCCCAATTCTGCCTTAAATCTCAGTATTATGACTTTTTTTCTCCCAATTCTGCCTTAAATCTCAGAATTATGACTTTTTTTCTCCCAATTCTGCCTTAAATCTCAGAATTATGACTTTTTTTCCTCCCAATTATGACTTAAATCTCAGAATTCTGACTTTAATCTCAGAATTATTACTTGTTTTTTCTCCCAATTCTGACTTTAATCTCAGAATTATGACTTTAATCTCAGAATTCGGACTTTTTTTCTCCCGATTCTGCCTTAAATCTCACTATTATGACTTTTTTTCTCCCAATTCTGCCTTAAATCTCAGAATTATGACTTTTTTTCCTCCCAATTATGACTTAAATCTCAGAATTCTGACTTAAATCTCAGAATTCTGACTTTAATCTCAGAATTATGACTTTAATCTCCCAATTCTGCCTTAAATCTCAGAATTATGACTTTTTTTCTCCCAATTCTGACTTTAACCTCAGAATTAGGACTTTTTTTTTCCTCCCAATTATGACTTAAATCTCAGTATTATGACTTTTTTTCTCCCAATTCTGCCTTAAATCTCAGAATTATGACTTTTTTCCCCTCCCAATTCTGCCTTAAATCTCAGTATTATGACTTTTTTTCTCCCAATTCTGCCTTAAATCTCAGTATTATGACTTTTTTTCTCCCAATTCTGCCTTAAATCTCAGAATTATGACTTTTTTTCCTCCCAATTATGACTTAAATCTCAGAATTATGACTTTTTTCCCCTCCCAATTCTGCCTTAAATCTCAGTATTATGACTTTTTTTCTCCCAATTCTGCCTTAAATCTCAGTATTATGACTTTTTTTCTCCCAATTCTGCCTTAAATCTCAGTATTATGACTTTTTTTCTCCCAATTCTGCCTTAAATCTCAGAATTATGACTTTTTTTCCTCCCAATTATGACTTAAATCTCAGAATTCTGACTTTAATCTCAGAATTATTACTTTTTTTTCTCCCAATTCTGACTTTAATCTCAGAATTATGACTTTAATCTCAGAATTCAGACTTTTTTTCTCCCGATTCTGCCTTAAATCTCACTATTATGACTTTTTTTCTCCCAATTCTGCCTTAAATCTCAGAATTATGACTTTTTTTCCTCCCAATTATGACTTAAATCTCAGAATTCTGACTTAAATCTCAGAATTCTGACTTTAATCTCAGAATTATGACTTTAATCTCCCAATTCTGCCTTAAATCTCAGAATTATGACTTTTTTTCTCCCAATTCTGACTTTAACCTCAGAATTAGGACTTTTTTTTTTCTCCCAATTATGACTTAAATCTCAGAATTATGACTTTTTTTTCTCCCAATTCTGCCTTAAATCTCAGTATTATGACTTTTTTTTTCTCCCAATTCTGCCTTAAATCTCAGAATTAGGACTTTTTTTCTCCCAATTCTGACTTTAACCTCAGAATTAGGACTTTTTTTTTTCTCCCAATTATGACTTAAATCTCAGAATTATGACTTTTTTTTCTCCCAATTCTGACTTTAATCTCAGAATTGTGACTTTTTTTCTCCCAATTCTGACTTTAATCTCAGAATTCTAAATTAATTCTGACAGCTAACAAACGTGTTAGCATCAAGTCGTAGACATGTTTGTGTTAGAGACTAAACTAGCTCTCTTGTTTTAATCACCTTTTGCTCTTCCATTAACGAAATAGCATCACTTTTTACATGCCCTCGCCTAATTCCATAATAAATGTGTCACTGTTCCTCCCAAACAACTCACATCTTTGTCAGTGAAGCTGAGTGCTCCACATCTCCTCCTTCATGATGCCCATCTACATTAAAATCCAAAATTCTGAGATTCAAGTCAAAAGTTTGAGGAAAAAAGTCAGAACTCTGACTTTTTTTCCCCATATTAAACTGTAATAATATTTAAAAACAAATCTAATCTAATCCTGTTTAATTTGAAACTAAATACTTTGAACCATCTGTAAAATAATAGCAATTCTTAATTCTGTCATTTAGAAAACATACCCAGTTATTATCATTATTAATCTGCATATCTTTACAAACCGATCAACATTCAAATATGGAAAGAACCAAAAAGGTGTAACTGGATAAGGCGCCGCAGCACAGTATCCCTTTCCCTGCACACCTATTTCCCTAATGACTTTATGTGCTGCCCATGCAAAACAATCTATTTTAGCTTTTCTACTCTCCCAGCAACGTCTCTGGATTCTTACTGTTGGATTATTCTCCTCCTCATGTCCCTGTAAACTTCCCCAATAATTCAGCATAATTTGTTTTTGTTTTAAATATAAAGGAATCTCCCCAGTTTCCACCTGCATCGCAAAGAGGAAGATATCTTCATAAATGGAAATGTTTTGCACAATGTGCCTGGTTAGGAATGTGTGTTGTGGAGACTCAAATGGAGGTGGGTGCGTGCACCACGGAAGTAAGTGTGCTTCGTTTCACTTTGTTTTTCAGTATTCATTCATGTTCTACATATTAATCAAGTGATCTCACATCATTTGCTTTATTCAGCTGTGCTGTCATAAGTTGTGTTGGTGCTAATAAGCCAAACAAAAGGCCTTCTGGATGTCAGATTATCTGTGATAATCTATTAAGAGCGTCACAAATAGGGCAACAAACGAGGACAGACTCAACTCTCAGCGGCTAAAAGGATCTGGTTGGAAGCAGCAATAGCACGCATGTTAGAAAAGGATAAAAAAATGTAGCAGTAGTGATACTCTCAGAAGAATATAACTTAAATACATGTAAAAAGTACACCTCAGAAAATTAAAATTTGTTCAAAAAATTAATCAAGTAAATGTAACAAAGTAAATATACCATAGCCAAAGGCACATCTCTTCACCTATAAGAAAAGTTAATATAGGAAAACAATCCTCAGCAAAACAATCTGGCTTTTATGAGCAACTTTGTACACGGGTCAGTATAGTTTGGGACTGTTGCATCATTACAGCTAACTTAACAAATGAAAAGATAAATAAATATATAGATGGTCTATACACAAACGGACTAAATTATTGCTACTCCTTGTTTAACAGAAGAAAAACCCACAATGGTCACAGAAACATAAACTGAATCTGACAAAGGTAATAATAAATAAAACTTCTATGAAAATAAAGAAAAGAAACAAAATCAGACATCCCTGCTCATTGCTTTGCTGTTTGTGGATAAACATCATCCCATGCTGCTGAGTTCTTATTATATTGTGGCATTTTCAAACTATTTTGTCAAGAACAAGTGGCGCTGCTGTAGCCACACGAAATTCTGCAGGCAAGGGTTTGGAAAGCTCAGTGACAGCAGCAGGGGGTATTTCATCATAAACCCGCCAAATTATTTCTTGCTGGGAGGAAAAAAAAAGATTAGGTGTTTTGCATGGATTATTAGTAAAATAACACAAAAATTTCAAATACACAATTTAGAAATAAGTTCAATGTTACCTTTATCACTTTTTACACCCTATATTTTACTAGAAGTAAAGGTAGATAAATTAATAGAAAACTGATAAGAGACATTGTATTTAAGTATGGCATAAACAAACGCTGGAGAAAAAGTGATAGAAAAGGTGGGATAGAGGAAGTATAGGAGGAGAAATTAAGAAGAAATGGAAAGGAATGATTAATTACAATATTAAGATTTGGACATACAGGAGTTAACTCCACACTCTTTATGGAAGGGTGAATACTGTGGAGAGCAGGAACAAATTAAACATGTTATATTGAGATGTCAGAAATATGAGCAAGAAAGAAGAGTCAAGGGGAGAGCCTTTGGAAAAAATAAAGATAGGTTTATAAAGATTAGATTAAAATTACTTGATGATGAGTGACACTCCATTCCTATGGCAGCTGATGGTGGTTGTATCCGTCCGATGCTTTTTCATGGTGGTTATCTCCAGAAAATCTGTTAATTTTCTCATTATCTAAAGATAAGAAGAGCTGTTTTCTCATGATAAGAGTAAGAACTGATTACATCGTTCAATACCTCAGCAGTGGGAGAGGATTTATAAGTATAAGTCATGGCAGTCTGTGTGTAATTCTGTGAATAATCCAGTGTTTAACTTTTAGGAAATGAGAAGACGTTGTTGGTTTGATGATTTGTTCCATTTCTGATTCATAAGCAATTAGACCCATGCCTCTGGCGCCTTAGCGCCGGGTGTTTTCTGAACAGCCCCGGTGTCACATAACGGGCGCCGTTTGTAAAGTTAAGCAGTCAAAAATAAGGAAACAATGTTTATGGTTATTTAGCGTATTTAAAATGAAAAATGGGGGGGGGGGGGTATTTTTTTTTTCCCGAAGTCATTTTTTGACTTTGTCTTTTATTTATAAAAAAAATCTTACTTTGTTAAATAAATATTTAGTTTTGAGCTAAATATTTAGTTTATAAATTAAACATTTAGTTTGTTAAATAAATGTTTAGTTCCAAACTGAATATTTAGTTTGTTAAATAGATATTTAGATTATTAAATAAATATTTTGTTTGAAGCTAAATATTAAGTTTGCAAATTAAATATTGAATTTGTTAAATAAATATTTAGTTCAAAACTGAATATTTAGTTTGTTAAATAGATATTTAGATTATTAAATAAATATTTTGTTTGAAGCTAAATATTAAGTTTGCAAATTAAATATTGAATTTGTTAAATAAATATTTAGTTCAAAACTGAATATTTAGTTTGTTAAATAGATATTTAGATTATTAAATAAATATTTTGTTTGAAGCTAAATATTAAGTTTGCAAATTAAATATTGAATTTGTTAAATATTTAGTTCAAAACTGAATATTTAGTTTGTTAAATAAATATTTAGATTGAAGCTAAATATTTAGTTTGAAAATTAAATATTTAGTTTGTTAAATATTTAGTTCCAAACTAAGTTTGTTAAATATTTAGTTTGAAGCTAAATATTTAGTTTGCAAATTAAATATTTAGTTTGTTAAATATTTAGCTTGAAGCTAAATATTTAGTTTGCAAATTAAATATTTAGTTTGTTAAATATTTAGCTCAAAATAAAATATTTAACAAACTAAATATGTAGCTAGCTTGGTGCTAGCTACATATTTTGTTTGTTAAATATTTAGTTTAAAGTTAAATATTTAGTTTGCAAATTAAATATTTAGCTCAAAATATTTAACAAACTAAATATGTAGCTAGCTTGGTGCTAGCTACATATTTAGTTTGTTAAATATTTAGTTCCAAACTAAGTTTGTTAAATATTTAGTTTAAAGCTAAATATTTTGTTTGCAAATTAAATATTTAGTTTGTTAAATAAATATTTAGTTTGTTAAATAAATATTTAGTTCCAAACTAAGTTTGTTAAATATTTAGTTTGAAGCTAAATATTTATTTTGCAAATTAAATATTTAGTCTGTTAAATATTTAGCTCAAAATAAAATATTAAACAAACTAAATATGTAGCTATCTTGGTGCTAGCTAAATATTTAGCGCGGAGGTCTTCAACAGGGGGTCCATGACCCCTAGGGGGTCCACGGAGGTACTGCATGGGGGTCGTGAAAGTTTTGGTTGATTGGCTTTTTTTTGTTTTCATATTCCCCCCTGCAATTTTTTCCACTAATTGAAATGACTTTAAAAACACATTAACATAAATTCTACACATTGAAGTAAACAGATAAATGGAGGCAGAAGATGTTCTTCAGTTGTCAATGCTCACATTCAGCGACACAGGAGCTCTTTCAAGCTGGGCACCGTTTCAATCACAACACCAATCCCATCAACCAGGAATCAGAATCAAAAACACTTTAATAATCCCAATAATCGTTACATTACTCCATCTGTAATAGAGTGACTACAGGACCAGTTTGATATAACACAATTTCATACAATATATACTGTATATTTAGGGGGTCCCCACTCAATCTCACCATCAGTTTGGGGGTCCTTGGCCTGGAAAATGTTGAAGACCCCTGATTTAGCGTGTATGCAAATTCCCTTACTGAAAAGCAAAATGTGAACTGCCAAAGTAAAAGCCTGTGAATCTCTATACATCTCTCTCGGCATCTTCGTCACACTGACAGAAAATCAAAAGGTAGTACATGAAAAATTCCATAAAGGATGGTCCTATTTAAAATCCTTTTATTTGACCTCACACATTTGTTTTAAGAAAGATGCAAAATGTTTAAAGTTATGTTAACCTGCGCCACAGAGCTGCAGCCACGCACGGGGCGTCAGTGCGTTGCCATAGCAACGACTGCTTTCCCTTTCTGTTGGAGGGATAAAGTCGTCCCATTCTCGTTCAATCAAGGTGCTTTCACAACTGCGAGTGAGACTTCATTGGGAGCAGAGATGGGAAGTAACGAAGTACAAATACTTTGTTACTGTACTCAAGTAGATTTTTCTGATATTTTTACTTTACTTTACTACTTATTTTTATGGCAACTTTTTACTTCTACTCCTTACATTTTTACACAAATATCTGTACTTTCTACTCTTTAAAAAATTGGCTCGTTACTTTAGTTTTGAATCATTTCAATGGAGTTACCGTTATTATTTTTCACGTCATCAATACCAAATTCAATCTAATTGGATGGGAATCTACGTTGCATTTGACGCACCACTACAAGATGAATCGACAGATTCGGCGGTATTCATTGGCGGCAAATCATTGCAGCTTGGTGGCGGTGGCGTTAGCATAGTAGCATGGACGACGAGATGATTGAAAATGAACACAACGGAGATCTAGTCCTATTGGCAGACATCCATTTAAAATGTAGGCAACGGCATGAAAAAAGTGGTTTCTACTTTTACTTTTATACTTTAAGTAAATTTACAAGCCTGTACTTTGTTACTTTTACTTGAGTAAAGAAGTTTAATCAGTACTTCCACTTTTACCAGAGTATTTTTTAACACGTATCTGTACTTTTACTCAAGTACAGAAAGTGAGTACTTTTGCCATCTCTGATTGGGAGTGACAGTCGAAAGTTAAGGATTAATGCTTAGGGGGTGATTTGAGATTCAACCGACGACAGAAAAGTGACTAAAGATAAATCAGTCTCTTGTCTGGAGCCGCAGGAGTTGCATAGAGATTCACAGGCTTTTACTTTGGTAGTTCACTTTCGGTAAGGGAATTTGCATATGCGCTAAACATTTAGTTTGTTAAACAAATATTTTATTTGGAGCTAAATATTTATTTAACAAATTAAATATTTAGATTGGAGCTAAACATTTGTTTAACAAACTAAAAATTTAATTTGCAAACGAAATATTTATTTAACAAAGTAAGATTTTTATAAATGAATGAATCACTGGAAGCCTCATTCATTACTCAGAGGTTAATTGTCTCATTATCTCAAGAAATCAATAACTGTTTTATTTACGTGATAACGAGATAATTATCTTATCTCGAGAGAAAACAATTAATGGTTTAACTGGATAGTCATCATCTTGAAGATTTACACTCACCGGCCAGTTTATTAGGTACCCCATGCTAGTAATGGGTTGGACCCCCTTTTGCCTTCAGAACTGCCTCAATTCTTGGTGGCATAGATTCAACAAGGTGCTGGAAGCATTCCTCAGGGAGTTTGGTCCATATTGACATGATGGCATCACACAGTTGCCGCAGATTTGTCGGCTGCACATCCATGATGCGAATCTCCCGTTCCACCACATCCCAAAGATGCTCTATTGGATTGAGATCTGGTGACTGTGGAGGCCATTTGAGTACAGTGAACTCATTGTCATGTTCAAGAAACCAGTCTGAGATGATTCCAGCTTTATGACATGGCGCATTATCCTGCTGAAAGTAGCCATCAGAAGTTGGGTACATTGTGGTCATAAAGGGATGGACATGGTCAGCAACAATACTCAGGTAGGCTGTGGCGTTGCAACGATGCTCAATTGGTACCAAGGGGCCCAAAGAGTGCCAAGAAAATATTCCCCACACCATGACGCCACCACCACCAGCCTGAACCATTGATACAAGGCAGGATGGATCCATGCTTTCATGTTGTAGACGCCAAATTCTGACCCTACCATCCGAATGTCGCAGCAGAAATCGAGACTCATCAGACCAGGCAACGTTTTTCCAATCTTCTATTGTCCAATTTCGATGAGCTTGTGCAAATTGTAGCCTCAGTTTCCTGTTCTTAGCTGAAAGGAGTGGCACCCGGTGTGGTCTTCTGCTGCTGTAGCCCATCTGCCTCAAAGTTCAACGTACTGTGCGTTCAGAGATGCTCTTCTGCCCACCTTGGTTGTAACGGGTGGTTATTTGAGTCACTGTTGCCCTTCTATCAGCTCGAACCAGTCTGGCCATTCTCCTCTGACCTCTGGCATCAACAAGGCATTTCCGCCCACAGAACTGCCGCTCACTGGATGTTTTTTCTTTTTCGGACCATTCTCTGTAAACCCTAGAGATGGTTGTGCGTGAAAATCCCAGTAGATCAGCAGTTTCTGAAATACTCAGACCAGCCCTTCTGGCACCAACAATCATTCCACGTTCAAAGTCACTCAAATCAGCTTTCTTCCCCATACTGATGCTCTGTTTGAACTGCAGGAGATTGTCTTGACCATGTCTACATGCCTAAATGCACTGAGTTGCCGCCATGTGATTGGCTGCTTAGAAATTAAGTGTTAACGAGCAGTTGGACAGGTGTACCTAATAAAGTGGCCGGTGAGTGTATATATATGTTACAGTAGTCCATACCACGCTCCACACCAGTAAGTGGCGGTAATGCTACTAAAAGTTTGTTGCCAACCGCCAATAAATCCAAGAAGAAGAACAAACAAACAAAAAAAAAACAACTCACAATTGTAGCCTATTATATTACTAACTGTAGTTATGCACCTAACCTACCAGCAGGTGGCGACATGGCCACATGAAGCTGGATGAACGGTGGGGATTGTTGAAACCCACACGGGGCTCTCGGCTCGTACTTCCACATGATGGCGGAAGTGAACACTTTCCTCCACCCGCCAAAAGAAACGCTTCATTCAGTTCTTGGCGGGTCCAGGTCTTCTCTAGACCACCGACTGAAAACAGGAGCTCCTCATCCATCCTCAGGTAAGCTGCTTCTCTGTCATTATAACATTTATTTGAGGTATTAGAATGAAGGGGTGTCCATGATCACAACTTAAAACTTCATCAATCCTTCATTTTTTTTCTATTTGTCTTTTGTACGCGCTGTTATTAAAAGAAATATATAACCAAACACAAATATTTAACAGATTTAGACATTTTTAACTAATTTTAAGCGTTAACCGGCTTCAAATCAATTTGATTTAATCTTTAACTACATTTTCCTCTACATTTATAAATAATTTGTGACAAATATAAAAAAAATATTTTTTTCCTTTTGACTTGAGAAACGTTTTTTAATCTAGACGGGCAGTTTTTAGGCTGCTGATTGAAATAAAATCTCATTTAAAGACTTTTTCCCTAATAACCACGTGTAGATTAGTCAACTTCCTGTTTTCTTTGTATTTTTTTAGGCGGTTAAATACAAACAGCCCGCTTCTATCACAGTCTGTTCAGACAGGAAGGATGGTTGTTGGGGAAAATATGAACATATATGTTTCCTCCTGGTCCAAATGCTGTTTATTTAGCTCCAATTGAAGCAAAAACCTCCCTGTTTATTTGTCAGGTTATTATTTAAAGAAAACCCCAATAAAATGCTGTATAAAATTGTTACAGTGCACAGAATTATCTATTAAAACTATGTATATGATAATAAATATATGCTTTCTTTGTTTTACTTTTACTTTGTTTTGTTTTAATATTTCAGTGCATTTCACTGCATAGTTACCTGATAGTGGAAGGCTTTATTCTATCCTGAATCAAGTTAGTGTCTATTAAAAAAAATTATAAAAGGATAGACAGACAGACAGCCTTTATTCTGGACTCATGGTCCAATAAATATATAAGATAAAAATAAAACAATACAGGTAGAAAAGTACAACACAAGAACAAGTTACAATTAGGAGATTTAAGGAGACAGGAATAAGAGTGTCTCCACAGCTTAGTATTGGATTACACTACGTTTGGTGTCACTAAGTGACAAGATAATATCGCTGCCAGATGCATTTAACCTACAGATAAAATTATACATCGACTTTCGTAAAACAGCATGTAAGGTATTGACCCGCAGTAGTCCATCTTGGCCATTTCAAAAGTAGCTGCAAAGCATCATTATAGGCCGCCTGCAGCCTTTGCAGGCTGGATTTCTTTATATAGAGACCACAGATGAGCGGTGTACAGAGATACAATATGCATTAAAATGAAAGAAATGTTGATACAGAAAAAAGAGGACCTTTTTCCTTCATGGTATTAATTTTGACTGTGATTAAAAGAAAACATATTTTCTTTATTATTCTGTATATATTTTATTAACCTAGAGAAGAAGCAGTTATGTTTGTAAACATCATTAGTAGAGAAAGGGATGGGATTTTGGAGAAAGATCATTTGTATGTGCTTGTCTTGGGAAAAACGATAAAGTCAACTATTCAGCCCAGTTAAATAAATGAAGATCGATGGATTTCACTCAGTCTGCATTTTATTTGTATATTTGCAAAGATGGAACAGTTCATCATTGGTAATCAGCCCTGTTCTGATCTGAGCAGCGTTCGTTCCTCCTTACTTACAATAATGGAAAGCAGTCAGAGTCAAAACAAATTACAGACACTTTGGTTAAACAGTAACATGTTATGAATAAACCTGGCTTGTTATGGGAATAATTATGTCCTGTCTGCTAACACCCCTCATTCAGGCATTGTTTGGCCTTGCAGGTGAAACAGACTGCAATGAAAAAAATAAATAGCATACATCAGTATATGAAATAATAAAAATCTAAATTTTCTGATCACAGTGCTGTACTTTTGTTTTTACTTGATATTTTTTTATAAGTTGAAATTGTTGAAAATAAGGATGACTGCAGGGAAAATAAAACAATGAAAGCAATATTTTTATTTACATGGAAAGTCTGATAAAATGTATGTTTGGACCCCAGATTGATTTAGGATTTTTCACAGTGGAAAGGCTTCCATTTCAGTCGATGCAGTCCTGGAGTTATGCTGGGATGGCATCTCCCTTTTTAAATGATCCCCCCCATACCATCCCCTTGACATTTTATTACTGACTGTTTAACATCTCTACTATATATTAACAGTAATGGCGTTAATATTCAACTATCAACATTTGGTGGGCTGAGCAAAATAAATCAAATCAATAAAATTAAGGCCTTAATTGGCATAAAAATAAAACAGTCATGGGTACTTGTTGATGGCCTTTAAAGTTATTTTTAAGAGCATTAAATTTCAGCTACTCATTCCTGTATACCATGCATAGTGCTTTAGGTTAAGCATCCCTCCCCCTTTTTTTTTTAACACCTAGACAGGTGAAATAATTAATAACTAGAGTAGGGATGCACAATATTGGGATTTTGGCCGATATCCAATATGCCGATATTTTAAAACTCATATCGCCGATAACCGATATCGATACCGATGTTAAAGCTGGACAAAAATAAGTAGTCATTGAAAATAGCAGTTTTGTTATCCATTTCTGACACTTTGAAAAATAATATACTCAAATATATTTTCATATGCTGATATCAAATTGATTTTTAAAAACGCTGTATCGATCTATTTTACTTTCAAAATCTCGTGAAATTTCATGTTTCTGTTACAAACTCTCGTGATATTTTGCAAATTCTTGTGAGATTTTGTTAGTAAAATAGATTGATACCGCGTCAATATATCAACATATAAAAATATGGCAACATTTCGTGAATTTTCGGGGGATTTCGTAGCATAACGATGACATATAGCAATATTTCATTAGTAAAAGAGATTGATATGGTGTTTTTAAATGGCAATATATCAGCAGATGAAGATATTGGGATATTTTAATGGATCAATATTTTTTCCCTCGTCTTTAGAAGTTTTTAAGTCTGTAAAAAAATAAGTTTTTGAGGAAGAAGAAGTAGTAGTTATTTTTTTTTAGACTTTAGAAACTCAGAAGCTGATCAAATATCGGGTTAAATATCGGTGGGGTGGCCGATGTCCGATATTCAGTTTTAAGGCCGATACCGATAGGGGGCCGATTATATTGTGCATCCCTAAACTAGAGTGGAAGTAATAAACTGATTAAAGAAAAATATTTTATTTATTTATTATTATTTTTGTACAGTAATCAGAGCTGATTAAGGACAAATTTGCTGTTTTTTTCAGCCTCTGAATGATTTCTACTTCTCTATAAATGACATTAATTGAACAGCAGTGGATGTTTGGCTGCTTTATAGTATAGAGTTGGAAAAGTACAAACTAATAGTGAATATTTCTATATTTATGTTTTTCTTATTTTTACCAGCTCCTCATATGTTATAATCAATAGAGGATGATCCAGACATATAACCAGCAAATTGGCTCTAAATGCACAATAATATTTCACTTCTGAATTGTCTTCATGCAGTAGAGAGACAGAAGCAGCAAAATGTGGAATGAAAAGAAACAGAGTCCACCTTCTGATCGGTGAGGAAGACATCTTGTTTCTATCGATAAACCTTCGATAAAACGATCCCCTCACTGAGATTTTTATTTTATTTTTTCATCTGCAGCAGCCATGCGGTCGCCGTCATCATCTTTATTCTGGGTGTGGGAACTCTGCTGCCCTGGAACTTCTTCATCACCGCCTCACAGGTGCTTTTTATTCCTTTAATCAAAGCTAAGGAAAAATGCACATAAAGCATTTAAAATGTAAATAATTTTTTCTTTCAGTACTTTAATGAGCGCCTCAACGTTACCGACGGCACGGCTGACGATGTGCAGAAAGACTACAACTATGACAGCTGGATGTCTCTGCTCTCCCAGCTTCCTCTGCTCCTCTTCGCTCTGCTCAACTCTTTCCTCTATCAGTGGTGAGTGGAAAAACACAAACGTCTCGCTCATATTTCAGGAAATAATTCTGTCGTATCGTGTTGTTCCTCGCCCTGCTTACGCGCTAACCATGCGCTGATCGCCTGCAGGGTGAAGGAGCGTCTCCGCGTGGCCGTCAGCATGGTCGTCATCTTCCTCCTCTTCGTCCTAACAGCCGCCCTGGTCAAAGTCGACATGCGGCCAGACACCTTCTTTTCGGTCACCATGGCAACCATATGGTTCATCAACAGTACGTTCCTGTAACCGTGTTTCTTTAACCGTCTGGGTCCAGATCCAGATGTGTGCTCATAGAAACTTTTTAATTTGATGTCATGTCAAAGAAAATCTATTTTTCACTGGAAAAAAAAAAAAAAAAAAAAGTTTTGATCTAGACTGGCAGGTTTTGTAGGCTACTGATTGAAATCAAATCACATTTAAAGACTTTTTCCTTAATAACCAGATGCACGCTCGTAGAGCTTTTTGTTCTGGGAAGGTTTTGCATGAAACTTCTGCTTTGTTCTCAATCCAGGATTCCCATGAATCCGTAAAATCCTTGAAAGTTTGTGAGTTAGAAACAATAAGTTAAAGGCCCTGGAAAAGTTCTGTTATAAATAAGGGTGGGTATTGGCAAAGAAGTCGCGATTTACATGCCACGATGCGATTCTATCACGATGCATCATTATACTTGAAATATTGCGATGCATCGCGATATTTTCACTGAACACTGTAGGAAAAAGATCCAGCCCTTACCAGTGGCTGACTGGCTGGGTGTGATCTGGATCGTGTCTTCAACTGATACATAACTGAAAGCAACTGAATTCATACATAGCTGTATTTATTGAAACGACTTTTGGAGGTGTTGCCATGAAAACAAATACTGGACAGAAATGTTACTACCGGTATTACTGGCGTGGACACACTGACAAAAAGATCTTAGGATTCGTCAAACTTAAAATAACAAAATATGGATAATCATTCCCGTTTACATGGCCTCAGTGGTCCTTTAAACCAATGAAACGAAAACATTCAGATGTATATTTCCCCTTTTGGAAATGATCAATTTCATTTTTACCTTCTTTGTTTTTAAAGCCAAAATGCATCCAAGCATCTGACTTGAAATGTGATGGAACCACGGGGCGAATTTTCATAGTGTCCTCCATGTTTAATTTCATGACTCGTCTCAGTATCCGGAAATGCTTGTGACACAAAGCAGCGGGCGTCAACTCATCCGCAGCGACATCTGCTGGACTGGAAGTTGTATTCCACTTGGTTTGGCTGATGTGCGCCAACCATTCATGTATTTTATTTGTTCTTTTTTTTATTTTATTTTTTAATAATCGATTCTTGCCTTCAAGAATCGATGCAGTAGATCACAAAAATTAGAATCGTGATGCATCGTCATGATGATTATTTTGCACACCCTTAGTTATAAAAGACAGTAGGGGTGTGATCTGACATGGATCACCATATAATTTATCCCAAAAAACCAAGATGGTGCATTGCGATTTTTAGTGATGATGTAGCTCTGGAAAAGCTCACGACATCTTGTTGCTCTGCTGTGGCCGATGTGGCTGTTTGACGTGTGCGTCACACCGCATACATTGATCTGCACTCCTTAAAGGGAAACGCCATTTTTTTTTTTACATTGGCCTCTTGATTTAACGTTATTACATCTTTTTCTACTCACCCATCTGAGTTTTGTGTCATTTGGAGCCGTTCTAAAGATATTCCGTTAGGTTATATCCAAGTAACGTCTTCCTATGGGCAACGACTTGAAGGCACAAACTAAACTGTTAATTTATTTTTTATGATACACCAGCATTCATAACATGTAGGCGAATCACTGTCCCCCAGACATCCGCCGTTATATTTTTCATGTTTATATTGTTTTTAAAACAAAGCGACGCATGTATGACGCTGCAAGGTACAGCAAGTGAGAGATAGTGAAAGCTACACTAAAAGATGTTCGATTGTTTGAACCATCAACACAACAGACTCAGGAGACAGGAAGAAGTTTGAAAGGTTAAAAAGAAAAGCAACAGTTATGACTGAAGAAGGACCAGGTTCAGGATTACACCACGGAAGATGAAGTTTCCCCTGGAATGAAAGGAGGTGCATGAGTGAGGAAAGGAGTAAGGAGAAGGATGAAGATGATGATGATGATGCTAGGGAGGGTTCAGCCAGGGCTCGGGATGAACAGAGGAAAGTTGGAGGCAGGCAGGTTGAAGGAAGGGTGGATCACACTCTACATAGGTTGTTTTTTCTTGCAATAAGTGCATTTTTTTCTTGAATTGGGGAGATAATTGAGACACTTTGCCAATAGAACAAGACAATTTAAATTTAAAATAAGAAAACACAATTGCATTGTCTTATTTCAAGTGCAAATTATCTAATTATCTTATTTTAAGACTAAAAATACTAATTCCATTGGCAAATTATCCCATTTACTTACTCAAATTAATGGTAAATACACTTAATTTAAGGCATATTTTCTCATTTTTATATGGTTTTTGCAGTGCAGAAAGACTGTCAGCTGATGAAGGAGCATTCAGATATTGAGATGGTTGAGAATAAATGAGAATGAGGTCAGGAACATAGAGGTTGGTTCTAGAAAGTTTGCAGGAGAGCCGTCACTACCCGATCCGTCCCGGAAGCACGATCCGTTTCGGCTCATTCGCTCATCCAGATATACATCCTCAATTTTATTTTGTTTAGAATACCTAATTTGACGTTTTCCCTCCCCAAAAAATGGTAAACATACTAAAATATAATTTTTAAAGGTTAATAATGTATTTCCTGAGAAAATAAATGCCTTAAAATCCTTTCATCACTCGTCTCTGCCGGATCTGCACCGGAAACGGGATCCTACGCTACTTCCGGAGGCTAACTTTTTCGATTTAGTTTTATGTTTTCGTTTTAACCTTATGGTATATAGTGCGTAACCTAAAGAAAGAAACAACCAAAATACAGATTAAGATGGTTTAATCATATTTTGCCGGACTGATCTGAGCATGTCCCATGATGACGCCAGAGAAGCAGTTTAACTGAGAAAATGTAAAAAGCATCAAAATTGTCTCACAAAAGTCATAAAACATTTTTAAAAATGTATGTTAGCATTCTTTAATGAGTTAAGGATAGGAATAAGTAATTTTAGTACCAGAATTACATTCTTTATGGCAACCCGGAAGTAACCCTGTGTACCAGCGACCTCTAGTGGAGGAAAAAGGCAGTGCATATGCAAAAAACAAAAAACAAAAAAAAACCCCAGAACTTTGACAACTAGTGTTGATAAAACTCCTTCATAGGTGCAGGTTTGAATGGTTCAAACAGAATCATCACTTTTATTTAGTTTAGCAAATCCCCACGTTTAAAAAATGCTCAATAAAACTATCCTAACTTAGACTTAGACAACTTTTATTCTCATTTTGTTATACACAGTGTACACAGAACGAAATTTCGTTTTGAACATCTCTCATGACATTTCCATTTTTTAAAGTTCAGCAGTCATCAGATGTATACAACAAAAACAAAGCAATGATATGGTAGTTCAGATCATTAAATATATTTGGTGCAATTCTGCAGTGTTTTGGTTTGGTGTTGTCACTAACGATCAATGATTCATTCTCTTGTTGTTGTCTCTCATGTGTCTGTGTGCAGTGTTCGGGGCCGTGCTGCAGGGCAGCCTCTTCGGCGTGGTCGGCATGTTTCCTCCTCGCTACAGCACGCTGTTCATGAGCGGTCAGGGTCTGGCTGGGATCTTCGCTGCCGTCGCCATGCTGTGCTCCATCATGAGTAAGAACAGAAATACAGCAAACAAATACATCAAAGTTTCAATAAAACGTTATAATTATTATATGACCTTTTTTGCAATAATTAAATCTGATTTTGTTATCTTTTAAGGGAAATAAAAATAATGAAATACTTCTTTTTAGCTACAACATTGTTGAATGAGTAACATTCCAAAACACTGCAAAGATTAGGAATTTCTCTATCTTCATCCCTAAAAATCTACATTCGCAAGTGGAAAGAGGGTAGTGGCTAAAAGAAGCAAGATAGGAGGGGGGGGGGAGAACATGATCGATACTCTTGCAGACATGTCGATGCATTAGATCGTCGGCTGTTGGATCAATGCATCGACACAAAACGATTGTTAATAAAACCACTAATAGCAGCTAGCTGTTAGCTATTTTCTGCCATTAGTGATGCAAAAATGTGAGTTGGTTTGAGATTTGTAAGGATCCTCAGCTGGTCATGATGCCTACCATGGATCAATTTCCTAATTCCAGTAAAATCACAAGGATGTTAGCTAGTTATGCTGAGATGACAAAACTAAAACTCAACACAAAACAAAAAAAAAACAAAAAACAAACACTTGTTTCTCTGCAGGCAAAACTGACACACAGTCTGCTGCCTTGGGATACTTTGTCACTCCATGTGTGGCCACGTTGGGGACTCTACTCTGCTACCTGCTGCTGCCACACCTGGTGAGTCCTCAGATCTAAAGAGCATTTATCTGCACTTAAAGGGCATTCTATTAAAGATACGTCTATGCTTTTGCTTGTCCGTCCTCTTTCTCTTGCAGGAATTTGCTAATTATTATCTAAACAGAAATCAGGCTGATAAACTGGATCTGTCTAATAAGCTCATGAGCAGCACAGGTTGGTTTAACTTAGACTGACTTAAAGTCATGTCAGCTGGTTTAACATTACTGTTGTTTAGGATGTGAGTGATCTTTGAAATATTTTGTTTTTTTTCCTCTGTAGACAAAATTGCCTTGAATGGCAACGTTAAAGACCTTGAAGCTAAAGGAGTCCCAGAGGACAGTGGTGAACGTTCTTCTGTCTTTGCCGTCTTTAGGAAGGTAAACTTGTCTCCTAAGAGCTTTACAGTTTAACCTTGGATGAGTTGACCCTGATTAAACGTCTCACTGTTCTGATTATGGCGAGGGAAACCTATTTTTCTGAGTTTAAAAGTCCTTTGTTGCCTGGTGCGTCTCATTTAGCAGCTGTTTCCTGTCTGACAGATCTGGGTGATGGCTCTGTGCGTGACGTTGGTGTTCGCCATCACGCTGTCGGTGTTTCCTGTTATCACCGTCCGAGTGAAGACCGTCTACCCGGAGAACAGAGACTGGGGTGAGACGACATTCATCAAACAAAGGAAACGGACGTTATTATTTTAGGTCCCATACACCCTTAGGCGATGATATTATAATAAAAATACATTTTTTAACTGAAAAGGGTTTCCGCGGATCATTAAAAATGATTAAAAGTCATTAAATTATTATTACTTAAATTAAGGGAATTAAAACTAATTGAATGCGATTATTAAATGTGGCATTTAAAATGCCTATTTAAAAATAAAAAATAAATGTTTATAAAAAACTATTTTGTCAGATATATCATATGGAGGGAATATTTTGCAAAAATATTTTGTTAAAAAAAAAATAGCATGTTGTACACAATGTTTTGGCATTAAAATTGGTTCTAAGAGCGTTAAAAAGCAGCATTCAATTGGATTTAATCATTCCCATATAAACCCTGATGAATTAAGTTGCTAGTTAATTCACTTTAGAATTTACATATAGTTGTTTTTATATTTTTCAATTTTGAGCTTTTATGAAACATTACATAATAATTGTTTACATTTTGGATTATGACCATGATTTTTGGGTAGTTTTAATATGTAATTTATTAAATGACTATTAGCAGGACAATAATTTGGTCATTTTTTAACAATTAAACATAATAAATCAATTAAACAGATGATGAATCAAGTAAAATACAGTTGGGATAAGCTTTACCTGATATATCATATAATTTCTTTCTAAGAAGTTTATTGATTTTAAAATTGAAGTGTTAGTTACCTAGAAGGTAATTAATGTTAAACCTAACTTATTTTGGGTCTAGTTCTAAGATGAAAAAGCTGCTACCTGACATGCTATCTATCAAGGCTAACTGTGATTAGCATTAGACGCTAATAATGTATTTTTCTCTGCTCTTTCTACTTTAACTCTGTAGCTAAAGTCTCTAAAATGAGATTACATTACTTAAAAACCTTTTTTTTAAATTAAAGCTGTTTATCAGAAGCCTCAAACTGAAGCTGCGGTTCTTATAAGCTATCGCTAGGTTTAGCCAAGGCGGCCATATTGGATTCCAATTTATGAATGATGTCTGAAAGTAAGAGTCCAAAACAGATTAAACTTAGGTCTTCATCTACCTCAGGGATATTTTCAAAGCTTTAGTAAAATAAATATATGTAAATATGTCGTATTTACCGCATGATCTAAATATTAAACTTTCAAATATGTCTTTCACTGTAAATTGATATTATTACTGCAACAACAGTTATATTAAATCAAATGAAACTGTAAAGCCTCTTGGTTTTATTCAAGATTTACAGGCTTTTTTTGAACAAAACTATTTAAAAAAATGATAACCGTAGACCATTTTAACTTTAAGTAAATTTTTATGTTCGAAAACAAAGATGAAATAAGTTTTTTGGAAATCAGGACTACGTGTGAAATTGGCGTTTGCTGACGTCGTGATAAGGTTTAGACTGAAAAATATAAAATTATATTTAGAGTTTATGGTTTAGACTTAATAATAAATTATATTTAGAGGTTTTTAACTGGGAAATGTGAACTTCTGAGAAATAAACAAGGAAAAATTAATTTCCAATATATTTTATTTAACCACCCAGAGCAGAATATTTTCTTTCTTTTGCTTCAGGGATGCAACACATCAACCTTATTTAAAATGTACTCTGGAGTGGTAAATATATACCCATTTAATAAGAATATTATTAAAAAAAAGGTTTTCATATAATGTATGATTGTTTTTTGGAAAAGGTGCTTTTAATTTGTGCCTGAGCTACTGAATAATACTGTATAACATGTTGGCAAACTACTGTGCTAAATCAGTTTAAAAAATATTTTTTTGTGTATTTATTGTCCTAAAATCTAACACTGGCTGATTTCTTTCTTGGATGCGTTTCTACAGAAGCCCAGAGGAGACAAACCAAACCTAGATGGTTCCATGAGACTAGGTTGTGATTTTTTTGTCTTTTTTTTTTGGGTGTCTTTCAGACAAAGTGTTTACCTGTGTGTGCTGTTTTATCGTCTTCAACCTGATGGATTTAGCCGGCCGCAGCGCCCCGTCGCTCGTTCAGTGGGTGAGTTTCAGACTTGCTTCTAGGATGTTCCTCCTTTCTATCCAACAGCTGAGGCTGCAGCATATGTAGACTGCTGTCGAAAACAGTGAAGTGTTTGAGAGGATCCTTTGAGGGAAAATTTTTACATAAAATTTTAAATTTAAGAAAACGGTTTTGAAAAAAAAAAAAAAAAATTCATTGGTAGAATTCTCTTATGACAGAAAAAAGGCCACGATTCACACCATTTTATCATCCGGAGGGGGGAAACATTAAATTACTAAACCAAATTCATACAGCTGTCTTAAACACTTCATACATTCAGCAATGCAATGTCACAATTCCGTTATCCCCCACCTTCAGTCCATTCTAGGCGGCATTTATACTTTCCACATCGCGCTGTGCGGATGCACGTGCACGACTGGACGCTCTTCCTGGAAATCTCTTAGCTTATGACCTGATTACGTGCGAGTCAGCCAGTAAGAACCCTGTTTTTGCCAAGATTCGTACGTGACTTCCAGTATGTAGACTCCCTGTTTACATGCTGCCAGATATTTATATTCTATAGTTTCTTGATGCAAGCTAGACAGTTTATTAAAGCGTCGAACTGATTTCTGACTGAATCCACCGATGCTTTTGCAGCCGTCCAAAGAGAGCCGTCTGTTTCCTGTCGCCGTTCTGTCCCGCCTGATCTTCGTCCCACTACTTTTGATGTGCAACATCCAAACCTCAAAGCTCACCTTCCTCAAGCACGACTGTTACTTTGTTGTCATCATGGCGCTCTTCTCCTTCTCCAATGGCTACCTGGCGAGCCTCTGCATGTCCTACGCTCCACAGTGAGTACTACGCATCATAAGAGCCTCCCTTTTTCTCTCTGAGAGCTTTAGAAATGGCAGCACTGAACAAAAATATGTATGAAAAAGCAGATAAATGAAGCTTTGGGATTTAGGAACAGGCTACTTACTATTATTGAGGTGTACAAGGTTTTTAAAAGGTGATAACAAGAAGGACAGATTTACAGAAATATTCATGCTCTCAAAATAAAAAGTCTTTTAAGGCAGTCATGACAGGAAGACTAAAGGTTCTGTTTTAAAACTGTCTGTAAAGGAGCAGAATATAGGCTAGCTGACTATTTGCGCAGGTAATTTCGGCCTTATGTCCTTCTGTTACTCTATAAATTATCCTTGAATGCACATTTTTGTGCAATAAACACTTTGCTAGATTAAGAAGGTTTTAGTGCAAAAAGTTTGCGTGTCTGTGTATCAAAATCAAAAGAATAGCGTTAACATTCATATAGCTATAGTAATCTGTATGTATTTTAACAACACTGAGAATAGTTTTTGATTTTCTGATAAGTTTAAAATAAATTAGTAATGTTTTTAAAAAAGTTTAGAACTAGGGCCGTGCATCTTTGGGATTCCCATGATTCGATTTTTCCCCCCGATTCTTTTAAATCCAAACGATTCGATTCAGAAAAGATTAATTTACGATTCAAAACGATTCTCAGGATCTATTCCAGTCTGCTGGCATGAAAGAAGAGTACATCTATAAAGAAATTATCATTTTAAATGTTTTATTTACCTATTGCAATAATGTAAACACCGTAAGGTAAATTCTACCAACAACTCTGGGTGACGTCTTTCGAGATAAGAACGGGGATTTGAAGTATTGAAGTATAATACTTCACTTTACCATTGCAATCTGTGCAAATCGCATGAGTCATGTCAAGCCCATTCTTACCCGGGCCGGGTTGAAGGTAAAATCCAGTGTTTCCAAATGGTTGCTTTTAAAGACCGCAGAGGCGGTTTAATTTTTCTTTTTCTTCGTCCTCCGTACTTTAGCGGCAACAAACACAGTAGCTCACACAACACTACCCACCCCTCTGTTGCCTGCTAGGCTAACAGTTGCATGCCTGTGCATAGCTCACGCTGCTCATTGGTTTCGCCAAACACTACGGTGCCTGATAAGGCACATCTGCACACACAAAAAAAATCATTTAAAAAAAAAAAAATGAGAATTTTAGAAACGTGATTTCAGCTCAAATCGATTTTTTTCTTCCCTAACCATAGTTATAACACCTAAAGAATGTCTTGCCACCCTAAACAGACCAGTTTTTATGTGAAATTTAATTTCATATAAAATATTTCACAATTTTGTTGCTTTTTTGCTCTGTAAGGAAAAAAAGTTAAAACAAGACGACATGAGGACGTTAATTAATCTACTGGAAACACAAAGTAGGGCGGGAACAATTACTGAAATGATCCAAAACTAATTCAGTAATTAATATAATTAATATTTAGTAATTAATTAACTAGAGTAAAGAGACTATAGTTCATGACATTGAATGAAGGTTCAACGTGCAAAAAATAAAATACTTTGCATTTAGATAAAAAATTGTCTTTAATCTAAGCTTTATTCAGAACTCCTCAGGTTACATATTTTTAACGTCACCTAATTTAAATTCTGTATGAACATCTTTTAGGCACCTTTGGCTGTTCAATTATTAATCAGTTATTAAATAAAATCTCCGGCAGATAAATCAGTTAGCAAAAATAATCCTTTGTTTCATCCCTAGTTAAGCACAGGATGCATAGAAACTAGTTTTTGGTTTCCATTTGCTCTACAGAGCTGATAAGACATTTATCAGTCTAAAAGGGCTTTAAATGCTATTGACTAAGGGATGTATTCTTAGATAATTTGTAAATTTGCTTGTTTAGTGCTGATGTGACCAGCCCACACCTAAACTTTTCTAAAACCTGATGTTGGAAACCTAAAACTATTAGACAGATAATAAAGAGCTCACTATGAGAACCCAGCTGCACTAAAAGATAACAGTGAAAGGCTGCTAAATAAATAAATAAATAAATAAAAAATTCCTATAAAAACTTTTCTTAAAATCTCCCAAATGTTGTTTAAAGCTTCCCAAATTTCAGTATCCATTCAAATAGATTTTCCCAAAGTGTTTAAAATAAGCATAATCCGGTGGAACTTTTCCAAGCTGTTGTGTGATATTTTTGATCCACTGGCGCCACCTGCTGTACAACATGAAAATGATCAATATTGGAGCAAACAAGCTGTCAAAGTCAGTCAGCTTCATGTTGGCTTTGCTGATCAGACTCTTCTTCTGTTGGTAGGTTGGTGAGGAGCAGAGACTGCGAGACGGCCGGCTCTCTGATGAGCTTCTTCCTGTTTCTGGGACTGGCTGTGGGAGCATCTTTTTCATTTCTGCTAGGAGGACTAGTTTAGACTCAGGGAACTTGGACATCCAAGAAAAGCACTTAAACGGCTCTCTGCTTGTATTTCTCCTGTTTGCATATTAATGTCTTAATTGTCCTGTCAGATTTTAAAGGTGCATAGTCACATTATATGCCTTTACAAAAACGACGAAAAACCATTTGATGATGATGAAATGGTTTTGTATTCACCAATCGTCCATCCTGATGGTGTCCAGTCCTGTTTGACCGGAAATCAAGTTCCTGCAATGTGGGATGAGCAGGCATGAACAAACGTGACGCCATCTGCTGGCAGTACAGCAGAACTAAAGTTGGTGTAGACTAAAGCCGGGCATACACTGTACGATTTATCTTTTAGGGCCGATTCTCCAGTCTGGCGAGAATTTTTTCGATCGGGCCGAGTTTCCGCTCGTGTGTCCTGTGTCACGTAGTGTACAGGCGGGAACGAGAGATGATCAGCCTGTCATGACCACCCCCTTATCAGGAATCGTAAAGTCGGGAGAAAATCAAACATGTTTGAAATTCAGTCGGCCGTCATGAGCTGTTCGTGCACAAATCCTTCTGTTGAGGCGGAGCTACAGGCCAATTTACCAGAACCTCGACCACTGCTCATGAGCAAACAAGGGAGTTCTTCTTCTTCCAGGTTGGCGAGTCAGACCACAGGGTTTCTTAAAAAGTCTTAAAAGGCATTGAATTCTTCTAAATAAAACTAAGGCCTTAATTTGTATTAAGATGTCTTAAATCAGTCTTTCGTAGGTCTTAATTTTTAAAACATAAATAGGATTATTTTTATTATGATTTATTTTTGTAATCTAAATAAAACATTAAAAAATGATGGCTCGCCATTATTGGTTCCGTCCCGATAGCGGAACCAATAAAGCGTTGTTGCGGCCGGGACATTTGGGAGATGCACCATTAACTTTTTGTCTGGAAAATATGAGCAAGTGTAAATGGAACCAAAATTGTTTCCAGCCAAGAGTTTTCTCCATGGCTAAAACCAGGGAACATACATGAGGCTCAGTGGATTCAGTGCAAGAAGTCATTCAAGCTCAGAACGATGGGAATTAAGGCAGTGGAGTCACACATGCGAAGCACGAAACACAAAGCGTCAAAATGGAGTTAGAGAGAAACAGCCGGTATTTCTCAGTTTAGTTCCACCCTTGTCTCTGCAACGCCTCCACTTATCACCAAATCAAACATACTAAGAAAACCATACAAAGAAAAATAGCTGCAAAAAAGACTTAGCACTGGTTATGTTGGGGCTTTAAAACTGATTTGTTTTGTTCCCTGCTAAAACAAAGTTTGTGAATTCAGTTAAATAATTGTTCAAATATATCTGTCATTTGTGTGTTTTTAGCTTTCTTCCTGTATGGGAAGCTTTTCAACATTAGAAACATTAGTGCAGTGGTTTATGTTAAAATAAACCTTTGGGTTAAGTTGTCGCAAGCAGGTTTTTCTTATGTTTCTTGTGAATTTGGTCTTAAATGTTTATTTCAAGTGGCATTAAAAAGTCTTGAATTTAACTGGCCTTATGCTGTAGGAACCCTGGACCAGCGCCATCTCTCGGTGTTCAGTCCAAAGTGTGGTTTTTAGACGTACAGTGTGAGCAGGTCGATCGCATCAGAGCGTCGGTTCTCACACTGAGCTATGAACTTTTAAACCCTGCGGTTTGGTTGTACAGTTTGAGCTGAAGCTGCGTGCATAGATTGAAAATATATCGCAGTGTACGCCCGGCTTAAGATTAGCATCGCTGTCACTAGTGCCAGTATTGATGAGGGTTTTTACTCTCGTTTCCACCGACTCTGCAGCCACATCTGAACGCCTCAACAGCATTAGCTCCTGCTTTAATGAACACAGTGATCAGAATGTATTGTTCCAGTTTTTACCTCTTGGAATCAAGTATTATGTTTTGTTTAAACTTGAGTTTATTTCCACACCTCACTGGAAGGAGCTACTTTGCTCAGCAGCAGTTAGATACTTCCTCGCTTAAATCCTGCACACATGAACAGTATCATACTTCCTTTGTTATTGAAAATATACACAAAGGCCTTTTATTTATTAAAAAACTAAGCAAAAAAATCGAATTCAAAGTGTTAAACACAAACATAAGTATATGCCACCAGGGTGCGCTAATCTTTTAGAAATAATTGTTTTTTTTATCATAAAAATAATGTGACTATGCATCTTTTAACATCATAGTTTTGTTTACTGAAATGCTGTAAAGTTTAAAGCTTGTTTTCTTTAATCGAGGAAGTTCATATTCATGGATGCAGCTAAACGTGATTATTACCTGACTGTATAACAAAGGTGCTCCAGGGTCTACAACCATCTTTCGTTTTTTTTTTATTAATATTTATCATTTAATACACTGAATTATTTTTTTATAGCTTTTTTTAAAGGGATTTTTGTATCATGCGAAGGGAATTGATTTCTATTTTATGTGAAGGGAATTGTTTTTTTAGGGGAATTGCTTTAGTAGATTTTCTATTTGTTTTTTGAGTTTGTATGTACTTTTTTTTTGTACTGTAAAACAATTTTTTGCTATATATATTTATTAAAAACATTTTGTAAAACCCACTTTCTGGAGATCATTTCACAAAGAAGAATTCTTTTTAAAGGGAAGAAAATTGTAACCTGACTCCGCCAGATGGATTTGCTCCGCATATCCATCTGGAAAACTTCTGTAGAAGTAATTTTAGGAAGGGGCAAAAATACTGGTTAGCTGATTGGCCTATGTTGGTGATAGACGGGCCAAATAAACCAATCAGATCAACGAAGCATATGACGTACTAACAGAGCGACGGCGAAGAGGAGCCAATTGATAGATCAAACTTGCTGAAACCAGTCGGGAGAAGAGCAAAAACATCTTTTCCTCTGAGAAAAGCCTCCAGAGCAGTGTTTTGCTCTTCTTTGAGTGAAGAAATACTCTGTAATTCCGATAAAACTTGCTCGATAGCCACGCTAACGCTAGTTTCATCGGCTGAAGCCGCCATGTTCTTTAGACTGAACTGTCGCACTTCTCGTTGCGTCACACCTCAACCCGCCTCAAAGCCAACGCTGATTGGACGTTCGTTTGGTGAACGGCTCCAAATTTTCTTCAACGGAGAGTCTCCAGACTGATCTGCGAGTGAAACCTTGAAAGCTCGCGAGATCAGGATGATCTCACGAGGCTAAGAAAATTGTGGATACCGTATTTTTGCGACTATAAGGCGCGCCCTATAGTGCGGTGCGCCCTGTGTGTGTTGTTACTGCAGACGTTGTTGAGACCGCCATGAGAACGTTAAAGGGGGAAGTGTGGGCGTGGCTTGTGTATAAAAGAACAGTTATGTGCTTTATGCAGAACATTGTCTTAACAACCCTGAAAATGGCAAAGAGACTCGCCTATGAAGCACAGTTTAAAAAGAAGGCTATCAGCTACGCAGAGGAACATGGAAATTGAGCAGCCGCGCCCGCGAGAGAATTCAAGATTATTGAATCGATGGTTCGCAAGTGAAGGAAGACGGGAAACCGAACTCCGACAGGTGAAGAAGACGCAGTTGAGTTTCCGCGGACATAAGGCGAGGTGGCCCGAGTTGGAGGAAAGACTCGAGCGGTGGATCATCGAGCAAAGAACGAGTGGGGCCAGCGTGTCACTTTTCGACTAAAAACAGTAATGCTAGCGGAAGAAATGCTGGGCAAGTTACGCCACAGTTTGCGGATGGATTGTAGATGCTTGGGCTAACGTGTCTGCTGGCACTGTTGTTCGAGCTTTCGCAAAAGCCGGCATCATTTCCGAGGAGCCGCGCTGCACGGAAAGTGACTCTGACAGCGAAGAAGGGGAAATTAGCATGTCTGATTTAGCCCAGCTGTTTAATTCAGAAACGGAGGATGATGACTTTGATGGGTTTGATTAATACTTTGTAATAAATACATGAATAAAGCACAAACATACTCAGTTTTGCTCCCGCTCTATTTTTAAATACGCAGTAGAGGTATTTAAACGTAGTAGAGGATATGTACCGATATATAAAACCCGCGCCCTATAATCCGGTGCGCCCTATGTGTGTGTTAAATACAGTAATGGCACACATAACTGAGACTGCGCCTTTTAGTACGGTGCGCCTTATGGTCGTGAAAATACGGTTAATAAAAATCATCTTTGTATCCAATTGTTACGGCCAGTGGCCTTTTCTGTGTTTGTGTTTATTTTATTTTTTTTCAGAGGCCTGATCAAATTGACTGCACCTGGAAGCGGATGTTTTCCTGTGACACACCTTGGGGCCTACCGTGATTGGATCACCAATTGCCGGCTCCACCAATCATTGTTGAGGCCTCCATTTAAAACCAAAGGACTTCCTAGGGGAAGGCGCGGCCGATCCTTTGTTCAGACAGCTTGCCATTTTGTGGGGTGTAGGTTTGACTGCTGTAAAACTTGTGTTAGCTTTGATAGCTTAGTCCGCTCTAACAAATTTTGTTAACCTTGATTTCTTGTGTAACTCACTTTGTCCCGGTGGGGGGAACTTTGAAACGCCGTTAGAGATTTGTATTTTAGTTTTTGTTTAACTTGTTTTGAGAGATCATTTTTGTTTGGTTAAGTTCTTTGATTTACACATCTGTTTTGTGGATTTTGTTTTAGTGAATACTCTGTTTTTGAGAGTCCCTACATTTTGATTAATAATTGTTACCTTTTTTTGTTTATTTTGAAAAAACTCCAAACAATAAATCCTTAAATTGTTAAAACCTTACCACCAGGGTTTCTTTAATGTTGCTTCCTTTTTCCCTGGCTGAGCCGGGTCGTAACACCAGTAATATCCCAAACCCTAAAAGGGGAACCAATTAGACATCAGAAGACCTGAACCAGAAACTGCCAACATTTACCCCATCGGCTGTTTGTAGTCAAAACAAAGTGTACCGACATCATTTTCTAATACTGTATATACATATATATATATATAATTTTCTGTTGTTTTCAACACCCTAGGCTACGGTAGAGGATTAGGGCCAGTGGAAAAACAAACAAACTGATTTTTCAATTTGATTTCAGTTTAGTATGGGGAAAAAGTCAGAATTCTGAGATTAAAGTCAAAATTCTAAGAAAAAAGTCAGAATTCTGAGATTAAAGTCAGAATTCAGACTTTTTTCCCAGAATTCTGACTTTTTTTCTCAGAATTCTGACTTATTTCTCAGAATTCTGACTGAATTCTGACAATAAAAAAGTCAGAATTCTGACTTTTTTCCCCAAGTTAAACGGAAATAAAATTAAAAAATCAGTTAACTTTATTTTTTTTTTTTCAGCGGCCCTAATCCTTTTTCTTACTAGGCTGATAAGGGTCACCTTGTCGTCACAGTCGTCGCTGCTGCATTTGAACATCCCACTGCGTTTGATGACGGCTGTGCTGTAAAACCAGGGCTGCTTCCTCTCCCAGAAGTTCGGCCCTTTCCTTTGACCAAAGGACCCCTGACTTCCTCCCATTCTTTTGCTCTGTATGGAAAATGAAAAGATTTCAATGAGCGCTTCTGACTTTCACTAAGACACAATAAGAATGAAGCCTTTTGACCACAAATAGAATATTTTGTTCCTTTATGCCCTTTTCTTCTCTTCTGACCACTTGGTGAGTACGTCTGGGATGTAGATCACATTTATCTATTAGTCTGCAGATCCAACTTGCTGCACTGTTTCCTCTGACGTTTACGGCTTAATTTTTGCCTAATTTATGTTGCTTTTGATGCAAACAGACATTCCTGTGAGATGCTATAGAAGTTATAAATTGAACTCCTTGAGTAAAACCAAGAATAAGGCTAATTAAAGTATATGGTGCACTGGAAAAAAATCGAAATCTAGATAAGTCACTTTCTTAAAATAAATGCATTTATTCTTGGATTGAGGAGGTAAAAAAGAAATTCTGCCAATGGAACAAGGCAATTTACATTTAAAATAAGAAAAAAAAGAATTACATTGTCTTATTTCAAGTGCATATTACCTAATTATCTTATTTTAAGAGTAAAAACACTAATTTTTCTGCTCAAATTAAGGGTAAATACACTTAATTTAAGATATTTTTACTTATTTCTAGATGGTTTTTTCAGTGTGCATTATGGATCTTGTAATTTCATTCAACATTTTTCTTTTTTTTTTTAATAGGTCTTGCTATATTCTCTTTCGGGTTTTGCCAGTTGAAGTTTGCCATATAATTGCATGTCCTAATACCCTTTTATTGTCAGGTTTATTACGTTTATCATCTCTTGTTTATTTTCTATTTTGCTGCCTCTGTTGTACTTAAATTAGTCTTTATTTTTGCTCTTCAAATAAACAGCATGTTAGACAAAGGTGAGTGTTCTAACAAGACTATGATCCCAAACTGGAAGAAGGCCAACATTACATTTACCTCTGAAAAAGGAGATTTTTCTTTACTTAAAACTTTAGTTGGTTCTTAGAACAGGCCCAGCTTACCATGATGAAATGAGTTCTGACATTTCTGATAGGGTCCAAACTGGGGCCATAACTGCTTTAAAGACTTTGACAAAATATATTTAACCCTTTAAAGCCAGATCCAAGAATTAAAAAAACAGAAAATCACTTATTTTTGGTTTGAAGTCCTTATTTGGTCTTTTAACAAAATATGTAAAAAGAAAAAACAGAAATACATTTTTGATATTAATAATTTATTACTATGCGATAAGTCAAGATTATTTTTTGTGTAGTCTTCTACTGGCTGTTATCAGGTATATCTGATTGTGTACAATAGGATTTTGAGCAAAGTTTTTACCATTAAATTATGCAAAAGGTGTCAGACGCAAAACATTTCAGAAACCGTATGAATCAAATACGATACATTTGGCATTATAGGGTTAAAAAGGTGTCAAAATTACTAATATTTAATACTCCACTAGAAGGTATAAATCCTGCTGTTTAAAAACACTTTTGTTGAAGTTAGAGGATCAACTTAATTGCCCCAGTAAAAGTATAAAAGTAAAATTTTTAAAACTACTTACAGTATAAAATTAAAAGTAATGCAGGAAAAATAATGAGAGAAGCTTTTTAAAGGAGTATTACACTCAATATAATTCTGGAAGATAACTTCCTTTACTTAATTTTCTTAGTTTTATAACTAATGACAGTGTTAAATTTAACTTTGCATCATCTTGAAAAAACTGATTAGTATGTGGTGAACAACAAGTTGGGGCAGCACCGAGTCCAACCACAAATAAATTAATTGTACTGATGAAAAAAATTATTTTGATGGATTTTATTTTCTCTTAAATACCAACAAGCTTTAATAAAAATAAGCTTAAATGAAACAAAACTGACAAGTCTATTTTTAAAAGTTAAGGATTAGAAGTAAAAAGACTAAAAAATAAGTATTCCAGTAAAGTATAGATGGCCAAAATACTAATCTACTTAAGTATGGTAATGAAGTATTTATTTGACAGATCTGATATTTGTGGGGGTGTATTAAAATATTACAGCCTCTATGTATAACTTGAATTAGAAACAATATCATGTTTTAGCTTAATTTTCAGACCAACAATTAGAAGCAGCCATTAGGATCCATAACAGATTTATTTCAAAGCCTTTATTTACAGAGTAGTTCAGTAAACCGGCTTCTCCTTTATACAATGTCTAAGGAGGAGTGGAGAAGACATTATGGCCGATAAGATGGGATTTTTGTGCTGGTTCTGGAGGAGTAGAGGATAGTGAGGGAACTCCTGATTGTCCGGTGGAAGCTTAAAGTGCTCTGTGGCTTTAACAGGAGACAACTGGGGGCTGTAGAGAATGAGTACAGTAGCAGCCATTGAAAAAGGCCCTTCCCAGCCGAATGGCGGCCTACTTCGCGGCAAATCCCAGCCACTGGAGTGTAATATTTTTTTTTACTTTGACTCCACCCTTTCACTGAATTAGAGGGCCTGAACAGGAGATGACTCTTCTTTTTAGGTCTCATTGTCCACAAATCATGAGAGGAATAATATTTTTGTACAAATATTTATGTTTAAAAGGGAATTGTAGGGGACCATCCTGATCTCGCGAGCTTTCAAGGTTTCACTCGCAGATCAGTCTGGAGACTCTCCGTTAAAGAAAATTTGGAGCCGTTCACCAAACGAACGTCCAATCAGCGTTGGCTTTGAGGCGGGTTGAGGTGTGACGCAACGAGAAGCGCGACAGTTCAGTCTAAAGAACATGGCGGCTTCAGCCGGTGAAACTAGCGTTAGCGTGGCTATCGAGCAAGTTTTATCGGAATTACAGAGTATTTCTTCAGTGAAAGAAGAGCAAAACACTGCTCTGGAGGCTTTTCTCAGAGGAAAAGATGTTTTTGCTCTTCTCCCGACTGGTTTCGCCAAGAGTTTGATCTATCAATTGGCTCCTCTTCGTCGTCGCTCTGTTAGTACGTCATATGCGTCGTTGATCTGATTGGTTTATTTGGCCCGTCTATCACCAACATAGGCCAATCAGCTAACCAGTATTTTCGCCCCTTCACAAAATTACTTCAACGGAAGGTTTCCAGATGGATATGCGGAGCAAATCCATCTGGCGGGGTCAGGTTACCAGCCAAGGGCCCATCAATGAAAGTGGGGCCATTTTGAATGCCTGCTACTGTAGAAGCAGGCAAGAGAGCAGAGGACATATGAAGTGAGATGAGTCACTGTTTTTTTTCAGCTTTATTGTCATTACACTGTCACAAGTATAGCACAACAAAATGAACTCTGCATTTAACCCATCCCCTTGGGGAACAGTGGGCTGCCATTGTGCGGTGCCCGTTGAGCAGTGTGGGGTTAAGGGTCTTTCCTCAGGGACTCAGAGTGGCAGTCTGTGGGAGTGGGGCTCAAACTCAAAACCTCAGGATTCTAAGCTCTACGCCCTATCCACTAGGCCGCCACTCCCCCAGTAAAGGGTCTGGCAGCTGCCTCAATCCTCAGCCGACTGATGAGGGAACTTCAGACAGGCTCACCATGCTGGGAAATACCTTCAGCCAGGAACATCCATCCATTATCTAACATGCTTGTCCCAAGTGGGGTCGCGAGGGGTGCTGGTGCCTATCTCCAGAAGTTAATGGGCGAGAGGCGGCGTACACCATGGACAGGTTGCCAGTCCATCCCAGGGCAACGCAGAGACAAACAGGACAACCATTCACGCAGACCTAAGGAGAATTTAGACAAGTCAATTAACCTAACATTAATGTTTTTGGACTGTGGGAGGAAGCTGGAGTACCCAGAGAGAACCCACGCATGCTCAGGGAGAACATGCAAACTCTCAGCCAGGAACAAATCAAAGAAAAAAACACCAGAATTACAGCAAAAAAAATAAATAAATAAATAAACTTGTGCATTTAATTCTTGTTTTTAAAAATCTCTTTAGTTGTTTAAGCATTTAGCTCTGAAAAAATGAACTCTAAATAAGCCTTTAAAGCCCAAAATAAGAACAACCTTCATGTCCAGGAGAATCAGAAACGTGTCTTACTTGTTTGCGGATCATCTGTAGCTTTTATACAACACAACATCAAGCAGAGAGCAGTTTTATTTATTAGTAAAGTATAAAAGGTTCAATTGTGTTCCACTATGAGAGCCTGAGGAGGAGGTAGAAGCTCACAATGAGTGTGTTTGTTATTGACCTGGCAGAGAAAGGCATGTGGGGGCAGCTGATTATCAGAGCTGCACTGTGTGTGTGTGTGTGTGTGTGTGTGTGCTGCAGGGTAATCAGGCAGGTTGAAGCTTTCCGTCAGCGTTGATTTGGCAAAAAGACGAGACGTCACAGGCAGACTAACTGGATCTGCAGCTTATTGCTCTCCTGTTTGCTTCCTGCAGACAAAAAAAAAAAAATGGCTGAATCACACAGGCTGACAACGCAGGGCAGGAAGGTAAGTTTACACACCTGGCAAACAAGAAGCAGTTAACAGCTAACCAGAACACACACACAGGCTCAGGAACTGTCCTGTAATCAGTGTTAGAAATGTAAATAGAGTTCCCTGGGGACAGTCAGGACTTTAGCTTTCTAGTTTTTTAGCTTTTAAATAAAGGGGGTGTGAACCTGTTTTAGGCTCAGCTTGTTTAAAGTTATCTAGAAAACACAAAGGATCCTTTGAAAGCTACCAAAATAAAAGCACTTCTATCTCCTGTGGAGCAGGACAGCTTTATTTAAACCAATAAAATGGAAAATTACTTTTGGTTAAAGGTTTTTTGTGATGACCGAGGAAACTGCTAAAACTTGATTGATTTTTTTTTGTCTGTTTTATTGAGGCCTGAGGGTCAGGGGCGGATTTAGGAAATTTGGGGCCCTAGGCAAAGACAGGCAGGGGGCCCTCTGAATGGAGAAGACAACACATAAAACAGCCCCATTCTACAGATAGAGAAATGTTAATAGAATAGACATCCATTATCTGTTCTAGGTTGTGTCCCTCTCTTCTTGTCCCTTTTCTTCTTGTTTTCCTCTCTATGTTTTGTACTCAGCTGACTTTTCATGCTGTCTCTAAAGGAATGAAAGATTTTTTCCAAGCACTAAGCTCACTTAGCTGATTGCTCCTTCCTGTGTTTCCAAAAAGGCCAAAGTAAATAACCCAGTCCTTCTTTTCACTGTAGACAAGCCATGATCTGCTTATCTGTTCTCCATTTTTCATTTGGATGAAATAATAGCTGCATGAATCATGACAGCAGACAAGATAGAGGAGAGCAGGAGGCGGGGTTACCAATCTACTCGCTCTGGAGAGCAGAGTTCGCTGCTTTTAGATGTTGTCTCCAAAGTCTCCAGTAGCAGAAAAAAGTCTCTATATTTGGCGCAAGAAGCTTTTGAAATCAAAGTGCTAGAGGGGTCTGAAAAGTGGCTAAATATAGCGACTAAAGCGCTAAGTTGGCAACACTGCTCTTTGCATAGTTTGTTTTTAAATGGTTTGCTGCTGTCTGTTTGGAACTTTCTGAACATGTGCAGCAAATGGACTGATCCAATATGGTGGACACTGAAGGGGGGGCTGAGACACACTTAATATTATAAGCATTCTGATGGCATTTTAGCCAAAGGAATTTTATCAAAAACATAACTAATGTGCACAAATATAAATACAAAATAAGAGTTTTTATGTATTTTATGTAGCGAACTTGGGGCCCTAGAATGAGTGTCTGATGCTCCAGAAACTGCCTGTAACAGTTAATTTGCTCGTAATGCTCGTATGTCTTAAACTCTGATGTCTGCATCTGCCACATTAGCATCTGCTCGAAAACATACATCTTTTTACTTTCAAATAACTCCCTGAAAAGGTTGGCACAAAAGCTTTTATTTTGAATTCTGAGCCAATATAATCCAACTTCCTGTTTCACTGAGGCTCGAATTTAGGCACATGCTTGTCACAGGACAGGAGGTGTTACGTCACTCTGTGAACTTAGTACCCTACCAGCAAAAAAACAGAGACTGAAAACATTTACATTCTTTCCCTCACACATATTTGTCCCTGAATGCAACACTTAAAGTCAATAAACCAGAGTTCTAACATATGTATTTCCTTCCTGTCAGAGATGGAGTTTACCACAGAGACATGAGACGGATCAGAACAAGTCAGGTCCTCGATGCCTGGATGGAGAAGCTGAGAAAAAACTGGTAAAAATGATTAAGGCATCTTTTTTTGTGCATATCTAAGCAAGTAAATCAATTTTTAAGAATAAAAAGATTTAGATTTTATTAAAAAATACTTACAAATACTTTAGAAACAAATTAAGGGATAATCATTTTTGTAGACATTTGAGATAAAAATAGTGTTTTTCTTTCAAAACATTTCAGTTTAGGTTACATAGCCCTACAGAAAGTTACACTTTGGGAGCATAAGTTGTTTTTATTAGCTCGTTACTGATGTCTTTCTTCTTCACATTGTTTTGAAACACACTTAAAAAGGCTAAAAAAAAAAAACTGTCCAAACCATCTGTTTATAACCCTAGCATCTTAGCTCCTGTAGAAGCAATAAAGGTTATAGCTGAATAATATTTTAGTATCAGATTTTTTGGACCAAATCGATTGTTTTTAAAATCTAACAATCGGACATGTGCTGATTCGCGGTTCTGATGTTATTGTTTTGTCAGAGTTCATGATGTTTTATCACCGACCAATTTAAATCAAACTTCCAAAAATTCAGTTCAGTTTATTTCTATAGCACAAATTCACATCATGTCATCTCAAGGCACTTTCCAGTTCACCAGATCATCCAGTCAGATTGATTCAAAGTTTTCTATCTAAGGAAAATCAGTTGATTGCATCGACTTATTGACTCGAAGGCAATCCCTCACGCTAAGCATGCTTGTAGCGACAGTGGAGAGGAAAAACTCCCTTTTAACTGGAAGAAACCTCCAGCAGAACCAGGCTCAGTGTGAGCGGCCATCTGCTGAGGCCCACTGGGGTTCAAGGAGACAGAAGCAGAGATAGAAAAAGAAGCAGAGAAACAAAAAGCAGTCAGAGAGTCACAGTCAGAGAAACAGGACTACACTGAAAAACAGGCCGAGCTCCAACATCTAGAAAAAAAAGGTGTTGATGGCAGCAGCACAGCTGATATTTCTCTCCAGGATGGAGTCACAGCCAAACAGGAACAGACCAGATTAAGCTACTATGAGAAAAAGCAGAGAGAGCAGAATGTTAGATGAAAACAAAATGATGAAAAAAGGGTCCCTATGTCCTCCAGCAGTCTAAGCCTATAGCAAAAAATGTATTATTTTATGTGAAGAATATTTTTTGTGACGATTTATTTGAAGAAAAGCAGCCTGCATTGATTTATAGCTCATTGATAATTAATAAATCGGGTCTTCACGCTCAGGTGACAGCTTACAGCTGTGAAAAGGTGGCTGCTCTTTGTGCAACATGCAAAAAAAATCCTGGCCAGTCTCTGGCTTCTCATAAATGGGTTCTGCTCAGTAAAACGTAATTATTTAGTAACTTATTCTTCTTTACAACTCTGGTATACTTGTTTTCATTCGATGTTCTTGTAAAATTAATGAAGAATTTGGGATTATTTTAATTTTACTCCTTCTAATTCTTAAGAAATCTGAAACCTAAACTCAAAGCAGTCTAAATGTATTTATTGCCATGGAAATGTTTGTGCATGCAGGCTGTCCCTTTCAGAGGTCACATCTCAGGAGGACTGCAGCCAGGAAAGAAGGTGATAGTGGTTGGGATGGTGGACCCCAGGCCGGATCGGTAAGAATATGATCCTGTAATCCATCCTATTGTTTGTTTATAGGGTATAACAAGCCTCTGCACAAAACAGCAGGTTTATTTATTTATTACTCTGACAGGAAGTTTAAGAAGTGTTCTGTTCACTTATTGAACAGAATTAGGTTCATCTACAAGTTCTGCTTATAACCTTGTTAGGGTTGTTAAGTTTCCCCAGAGATGGGAAGTAACGAAGTACAAATACTTCGTTACTGTACTCAAGTAGATTTTTCTGATATTTTTACTTTACTTTACTACTTATTTTTATGGCAACTTTTTACTTCTACTCCTTACATTTTTACACAAATATCTGTACTTTCTACTCCTTACATTTTAAAAAATTGGCTCGTTACTTTAGTTTTGAATCATTTCAATGGAGTTACCGTTATTATTTTTCACGTCATCAATACCAAATTCAATCTAATTGGATGGGAATCTACGTTGCATTTGACGCACCACTACAAGATGAATCGACAGATTCGGCGGTATTCATTGGCGGCAAATCATTGCAGCTTGGTGGCGGTGGCGTTAGCATAGTAGCATGGACGACGAGATGATTGAAAATGAACACAACGGAGATCTAGTCCTATTGGCAGACATCCATTTAAAATGTAGGCAACGGCATGAAAAAAGTGGTTTCTACTTTTACTTTTATACTTTAAGTACATTTACAAGCCTGTACTTTGTTACTTTTACTTGAGTAAAGAAGTTTAATCAGTACTTCCACTTTTACCAGAGTATTTTTTAACACAAGTATCTGTACTTTTACTCAAGTACGGAAAGTGAGTACTTTTGCCATCTCTGAGTTTCCCCAACTTTAACCTATAAAGAATGAAACAAAGACAGTGTAAGATTTTTCCTGACCTTGCTTTGCAAAGGGAAGATATACAGAGCTTTAGGATTACTCTGTGCATCTTCGTCTTGCTCTACGCTTGCAGGCTTTATTTATTGAACATTCAACACATTACAACAGCAGGCGTTAGTTTCGATTACGCAATCTCTTAGACATAGCATGAACTTTTAAGATAGGGAAAATGTCTGGTTTCAGTATACGCTTTTAAAAAAGGTGTTGAGGGTCATAAACTTTTAACTTCTGTGCTTCTCAAATGAAAAACAGGAAGTGTTTATACTGTAATAATACGTGTTATCTGGCTGCCATCCTTCTCCTTTCTGCTAGATTCTACGTTGCTTTGACGTGTGGCCGTGGGACATCCAAGGAGCCTCCCCCTAATGTAGCCCTGGAGCTCTGTGTTCGCTTTAAGGACCGACAAGTCCTGCGAAGAGCCTGCATGTCGGGTTCCTGGGGCGAGGTGGAGAGAGCGGTCCCGTTTTTTCCCTTCATCAAGGATCAGCCCTTTAAGGTACCAGAACCTATGAGGAAAAATTTGGCTGCAGTACCTGGATGCAGTTATGGATTCGTGAACTGGAACTGAATTGTTTTCTGTCCCCCAGATGGAGTTCCACTGCGAACAGAGCAGACTTCGAGTGTTTGTAGACGGACAGAAGCTGTTTGACTTCACCCACAGAGTGCTGCCCCTCAGTGACATCGACACTTTATGGATCAAAGGAAGCCTAACCATCACAAAACTGGCTTAAAACTAAATTATTCCGTTCTGGATTTCTATATGCCACTTGAAAACACCACAAAATGTATATATTTATTTAAAAAAGATTTTTATTGCCTATGTTTATAAAATGGTTATAGTTTTTTTTTTTTTTTTTTTGGTCAGTCCAGTTATGACTATAATTAACACTTTACTGCTCACGTTAATCATACTTTTATTGGTAGATGATTTAAGCAATGAAACTTGTATTTTCTCTAAATCAATGAAGTTTTAATAATTTTTTATTATTCTATCTGTGTCTAATTCCAACCATTTGTCTCGTTTGAAACTTGACAGTTAATATAAAAACCCTTTTGGGGTTACTACCTCAGTCCACGGCTAATGAAGTCCAGTTTTCAGGAGTTCATTTAAAAATGCAAACTCTATTTTTTTATATTATTATTATAAAAAGTTAATCCTAATATTGTTTTGTAAGAGAATCAGGAGAAAGCTACTTTTCTTTGTGCATATTTTTACTGAATGTATATTATGCTTTAGTCATTTTTTTTAAATAAAGGTATAGAATACTGCATTTTTCTATTTATAATCCCTCTGTTTTTTATACCATTTTACGAAGAATTATTAAACATATATAGATGATGCACAGTGGCACAATGTGTTTGGCTGCAAAAATGCATTAAGAGCAACATATTTCTGACTTTATACAGATAATCCGTCATACTAAAGACAGAATGCTGTTGGAGAATGAATCAAACGCGAATTAACTTTTATCTTTGTAAAAGTATGATCCTAAAAATCCACCAGCGTGTTCAGCATTTAGCTAACTTTCAAGCCACTTTCCAAGCCTGCAACCCGACTGTTAATCCATAATCTGGCATCTCAAGCCTGCCTCCAGCCTATCACCAGCATGTTCAGCCATTATCTGCAGTGGTGTCAAAACTAAACACATTTGTCACTTAAGTAGAAGTATAGATACTGCAGTTTAAAAACACTCTGGTAAAAGTTGAAGCATCAACTTGACCTCTTTAAAAAAAAAAAACAGCCAGATGCAACTATATGAATTAAAAGCTCAATTTTTCGAATATTTCTATAAATTCTTAGAGATAGGGCCAAGGATGAGGGATGTCTTGTTGGTCTCCGTCTCCCGATACGCTCTCTCCTGTGTCCGACCTTTCAGACATTTCAACATCTTTTTCTGAATCCCACATTGTAGCATGGCATAGACAATTCAGGTTTAAAGTTTGAAGAACACCTGCTAGCTTCTGATGGTTTCCTTTAGCTAACCAATGAGTGTTTGCGTTATACGACTCATCCAATCACACTAGTTTTCACTAGATGTGGGCAGAGCCAATGATCTGCATTGGATGGAGCACATGACGGGAAATAAATATTTATAAACATTAAACCGAAGCCAAGAGTAACGAGTAACGTTTGCTTTAGAAATGTAAGGAATAGAAAGTACAGATACTTGTGTGAAAATGTAATGAGTAGAAGTCAGAAGTAGTATTTGAACTTCGTTACTTGACCCCCAGCCTGCCGCCATCCTGTTCAGCCAATATCTGCCTTTAAATTGTAATTGGTGGATGGGTTTTATCTTGTGCTGGAAACTGTCAGATTTGACTGTTCTGCACGCTTCTCTCCAAAACATGTTTTTAATGTTTTTATTGACTTGTTGAGATCATCATCAGATGACATCACTAAATTATGTTGGTTAATTAATTATTGTTCATTGTTCAGTGGTTAACAGTAAAGTTCTGTCTTTCTTTTGTTTTGCTTTTCTCAACATCTAAGGAGAATTAATTTTAGCACACTGTCAATGACCTCGCAAAATCTGAATTGATTTCTTGGAATAACATTTCAAACGTACTACCTAAAAACCTTCACATTTAAAACATGCATTTATTTTATACAAAATGCGTATATAATCTTTGAGTGTGTAATCAGTGGATAGCATTGCTGCCTTGCAGCAAGAAGGTTCCGGGTTTGATTCCCGGTCCTGGGTCTTTCTGCATGGAGTTTGCATGTTCTCCCAGTGCATGACTGGGTTCTCTCCGGGTACTCCGGCTTCCTCCCACAGTCCAAAAACATGACTGTTAGGTTAATTGGCTTCTCTAAATTCTTCTTAGGTGTGAGTGTGTGTGAATGGTTGTTTGTCTCTGTGTTTCCCTGCGATGGACTGGAGACCTGTCCAGGGTGGACCCCGCCTCTCGCCCGTAGACAGATGGAGATATTCTCAGACATAGTTTCGTCCATCTTAAATAGATTTTATACTGTCCTCAGCTGCTGAAAAGGAAGATATGCTATGATATGCGACCTTTAAATGTGCTGAAATCTATTTCTAAAGCAACATTTTCATAATTTATCACCACTTGGGAGTTTTTTTTTTTTAACATGTCAGCTTTAGCAAAGTTTCTACGACTGAATTATTTTTTACACAACAGGAAATAAACGACTTAAACCGAGAAAATGGTATGCAATAAAATATGTTAGCATGAAATCAAACTAAGTTTCAGTCTGTAACAAACTGAACACCTCCTCAGTACACCAGTTGGACCAGCAGGTGGCAGCACTTATGCACCTTTGTACACTACCTGAGATTGTTACCATGTGAAAAATGTAAACCTGAATAATGAGGAAACTTTAACTATTTATGTTTTTTTTCTGAACTAGTATTAATGAGAAAGCATTGCTATTTTATTTTAGCATTTAAATTTAACACCAGGTTAAAACATTTAAGTTTTTTTTTTGGTTACAAAATGTATTAGACCAATCAGTCTGTGACAGATTTGTTAAGCTCTCATGGGTTTTTATTAAGTCGTTCAGAATAATCAGAAGTCGTAAGATGCCTTTTTATTAATTTGGCTAATTTGGCTTCTTATATCCTATAACCTAACCTAAAACCTCTGAGATTAAATGCAAACAAATATACATTTACAACTTTGACTCATGTTATTTATCTGGACCTTTTTTATATCTATCACCAGACAAAAACTATATATAGAAGCAAAAATATTTTAAAATATATAATGAATCGTTTCTGAAAAAGTTGATCTACATCCTTTCATAAAACAAACTCTTTAATCTCATGTGCCGTTCTGCCTCCTTTAAAAAAAAAGAGAAACACCCAACCCTGGTAAACCTATAGCCTGACCTTAATATGTCACAAAAGTGGTGCCAAATGAAGGGAAATCTAGTTAATAAAGGATTCTCATCCAAAAAGGCTGATCAGCTGTTTGTTGTGTGTGATCAGGGTGAGTAATGACCGAGTTTAGACGCTCTGCAGCCTCGTCTTCTTCAGTTTCATGGAGATGCTCCTCTATTATCACCCCCTGTCTCCTCTCATCCATAATACATCACAGTCACAGTTCACTGACCTGCTATACGGACCCATCAGCTCTTCATCGGCACTGAGTGAGTGTGTGTGTGTGTGTGTGTGTGTGATCATACTTGTATTACTTGCTCTACGAGGGTGCGGGTTTGTTCACAAAAGGACAATTTGGGACGAGTCATCTTCCTTTCAGGGGAAACTGAAGTATATTCACTGTTCAGGGAGCAGTTGGTTAAAGTTCAAGGATTGGGTTCGGTAGATTATTGTCATGGTTGATGAAAGACTGCATGGAAAAGGTGTAGATGTGGAATATTTGAACTTTACTTGTTGATTAATCACAGCTTTGATTAATTAACAATATCCTGTGATGATGCTTGAGTCTGGGCCTGGAATATCTGCTTAAAGGCTTTAAAGTCCGGTTCAATTATATACACTTCAAACTGTATAAAGACTCCACTACTCCTTAAACAGATGATAGAATTAAAGAAAAAGCATTAAGACATGTTAGCCCTTTATAGGGCGTTTTTGTTCACTTGCATACCCCTTACAAATGGAGTCCCCCCAGTCCCTCAGTGACATCTAAAAGCATAAGATCTATATCAGCCATTCAGCAAAGATGCTGCTACATGGCTGTTCACCTTAATTTGGCATTTAACCAATTAGATGAGCCCTTTAATGATATATTACGTACTAGAAATTAATTTGAAGAAAAAAAAATAATACCGTAAGTCAAGAAAAAAAGGTAAAAACCTAATTGAAAAGCTAAAAAGTAAAGTTAAAAAGTTATTAAGCCTAGTTAACAATTATATTTAGGTTTATAAACTAAAAGATGTAAGTGCCAGTATCAGCATTAATGCCTCTAAGGTAATGTTTATAAAAAAAATTTGTTTATTTCACTCTCAGAGTGTTCTTCGTGTATTTCTTATTGAAGCACTTTTTTTTTTATTTTTCTTAATATATTTGGGCAAGCTGGCGTTTCCTGTTATTAAATTGACACACTGCAAAAAACTGAAATCTACATAAGTCGTTTTTTCTTGCAATAAGTGCATTTTTTCTTGAATTGAGGAGTTAATTGAGACACTTTGCCAATGGAACAAGACAATTTACGTTTAAAATAAGAAAACACAATTGCATTGTCTTATTTCAAGTGCATATTATCTAATTATCTTATTTTAAGACTAAAAAAATACTAATTCCATTGGCAAATTATCCCATTTACTTACTCAAATTAATGGTAAATACACTTCATTTAAGGCATATTTTCTCATTTTTAGATGGTTTTTGCAGTGCAATAATTTTTACGATCAAAATATCCATACTTTTTAAATGTTAAAAAGGTAATAAGGTGTTGTCCTGGATTCCAATAACACTATTGGCTTGAATTTTTGATTTTCAAAGTATTTCACTGAGTTCCCTATAAAGGGTTAAACCTCAGTTGTTGTTTTTCCTATTTGTTTCAAATACATTAAGTTCTAGTTTTATTGATTGTTGTTGTTTGTTTTCCAGTACTGACAGTAGCTTTCAGTCTTTTAATAGTCACCGTGTGTTAAAGGATAACTTTGTATTTACAAAAAAATTAAAACACTAAATTAAAATAATGTTGCCAGTTTATGTGCATGCCTACACCTGTAAAAACTTGCTTATAAGGTGTGCTCACAGTAGATTTGGGTTGGTCATTGCACATGACTTGCACCTCCAGTTTAAAGCTCCTCTGAGCTTCTACCTTGTGGAGACCAACATTAAAAGGAAAAGGTAGGTTTTTGTGGTTTGATAATGTGAGGGATTTACCCGCTTCACTAATTGGTGTTGCAAACAGGCATTTAATGTTGAGTTATTGGAGGAAGCCTTAAGTCTTTGTCTTTATTTATGTAACTTATTATTTGTGTTGTAACCACTCTTTTTCTTTGAGGTCACCTGGTCAGGTGTTGCCATGGAAGCGCGCCTATGAACAGTTCTGACAAGGACTCGGTTTTTCTATTAAGCCTCATAAGAGAAATCCACACTGACTGAGAGGGAGGGGAGATACTTTGGGTTTTGTATGGGTTTTGAGTTTTGTTTATCTTCTAGTTAATTGTAAATGTTATTTTTTTCCTCTAGAGGTTTAATCTAGTTGATTGCCTCCCAAACAGAGAACGTAAATGTTATCAAAGTTTCCACCCCTTTTATTAGAGATGGTACAGGCTGATAACCTGACTCCGCCAGATGGATGTGCTCCGCATATCCATCTGGAAACCTTCCGTT